TGGAAGCCTCGACTGCAACTCCTGTTCCTATATGTGGCTTATATTTTCCTCATAAGCAGGTATTTTTATAATTTAAAAAAATTACAAAGGCCTAAACCCGTCTAGTAAGAATGATTCAGAGAGGAGACAGCTGATGTGCACACGTGTCACCATGACAACCAACAGAAGTGGTTCCAGGATGCCTACTCACTCTAGTCTGGGGCTAGCCCGCCTTCACTCCTGTGCTCGCAGCACGCTGGCTGGCTGTGCATCCTGGGTGGCTGAGATGCCAGCCGCAGTGCTGTCCCACTGAGCCAGGCCCTGCACCGCCGGATGCAACTGCCTTTCCACACTGACATCTTCAGCACCGCCCTGTCCAGACAAGCACACCCTGGCTTGGAGCTTGGACCGCAGTGCTGCACAGTGATGGAGCGCAACGGGGCTCCGTCTGCCCAACCTGGGCTCTCAACACGCTGAGCGGCCTCGGAGCCTAAGGAATTCATCAGACGGTACTTCAACTCTGCAGGCTTGCCTTCTGGATGACCAGGGAGCCAGGTGCCAGAGCACAGGCAGGGGGAGGTACAGCAACGTCCAGAGAGACCTGCTGCTGGTGGCACGCACACACCTCTTGCCATCCTGAAGTCTGACATTAGGAATTCAAAGTAATAGTTCCAAGTTACCTAACACGTTCTTTTAAATCAACCTCAGACACCAGGCAATCAGCTCCATCACCAGGCTCAGGGCCAAGTTTCCGAGGTGATCCACCACTGCAGTTAGATCTGGAATGTCCCCAAAGGCCCTGTGCAGAAGGCATTACCAGGAGGTGGTGGGACTTTAGAAGGTGGGTCCTGGTGGGAAGAAGTTAGGTCACTGTAGATGGGCCCTCAAAGGGGACACTGGGGCCCCAGCCCCTCCCCTGCCTCCCAGCCTTCTCCCTCATGCATTCCCCACCGAGATGCACTGTGCCTCTCCTCCTTTTGAGTACCTCGAGTATACTGCACAGTAAGGGAGGGCCAACGCACAGTCACCAAATGATCCATCAGTAGTTGGCCACTGTAACCCGTGGCTTTTCTCCCCCTATTCACTGGAGAAAGCAGGCCTCTCCCAGGGAGCACTGGACACCCCTGAGGACACTGCAGGTGGTACTGTAACAGACAAGCGCAAGCAAACTCTCTCTCTTACGGCAATTCCTAGGGAACCCCACGGACACCTTTAAACATGTTCCCATTTATTCGACTCCATAAAAGGGCACAGGGAGCGTCTTCTACCATGGAGGACACTCTTCTGGTACAGCGGGTGGGGTGGAGGCCTTGCCCCATAGTGTGAGCATCACTTTCCTAATCCTATTACCTTTAGCTAACCTTGGCTTGATTTTAAAGGCCAGTATGATGTTGTTCAGAATAAAAACACACTGGAGTTGTAAAACCTAAAAAGCCAAAAGAAAGACGCACACAGTAAATGCATCAAATAAAATAAAGTGACACATTCTGTGAAGTAAGAAAAATAATCCGTTTAATAATTACAACGATGCAGCACAAACGTCCCAGCAGTCAACAGCAGGACACCGTTTGTGATGCTGCAGGACTCCTGCGGTTGTCAGTGTGCCCTGGGTGGTTTGCATGATGGAGGCACGCATGGACCACGCAGGTGTTCAAGGTACCAGTGCCCAGTGCACGCAGACAGCAGACGTGCCCAGGCACACAGAGTTTCAGATGCTGCACCTCACGGTCATCTGAGCTGAAAGTGCTTCTCATCTACAGGACAGGAGAGGCTTCGTTTCCTCACCCCTCACAGACAAGCGTGAAGGAGTCAGCAGCCCCGGAGAGTGGTGCCCCTTTGTCATTCACATCAGAACCCACCCTCCTCCAGGTCACACAGGGAATGGTACAGTGATGCACGACAGGGCAGGTTTCAGAAAGATTGCTCTCAGACGCAAGTTCTCTGCTCCCTGGAAAGCCTGGGAAGATGCTGCGTCCACATAAAAGGAAGGCATGTGGAGACACTGCCTCGGTGGCACCCAGCCTGGGACAGGATGTTAAAAACATGAGAATTCTCACAAAATACTTCAAGCTGAGTATTAAGGCAGGTCTGTAAAAGCATCCCGGGACACAGGCGGCCCATGAGCAGCCATGAGAGGACGGCCTTCAGTTAATTCCCAGCAGAGTGGCATCGCAACATCTCGGGTTGCCACGGCAGAAAAATCGAGGAGAGTTGTTCCTGAGTTAAAATCTGCTACGACAGCAAATGCACTCACCAAAAACACTTGTAAAAACAGGGCTTATGAAATAACAAAACTGATCTTTTCTTTCTCAGCATGGATGGATAAAATGCCAAGTCCTGGAAGTTGGCAATTCTAGCGAGCAGCTCATAGTGAGTGGTCCACAGGAGGCGGCTCGGTGTCCAGGTCTGTGCAGGGCGCCAGCAGGGGCAGGGGGTAAGAAAAGGAAGCCCGCCTGCTCAAAGGTGCCTGGCACCAAGCATCCAAAGGCAGGGGATCTGCTGCAGTTACAGGGCAGCCCAGCCACCAGAACATAATCAGTCACGCATGATGCAAACAGGCTACTTGTGGGGTATGTGATGTGTGTGATGCTGCAACTGTGGTTTGGGGGTGGGGCACATGCCTGTAATCCCAGAGACTGGGGAGGCTGAGGCAGCAGGGTCACAAGTTCCAGGCCAGCCTGGGTAACTTTGCGAGACCCTGTCTCAAAATGAAAGGGCTGGGGTGGTAGAGCTCAGCGGTAGAACACTTGCCTAGCATGCACAAGGCTCTGGGGTCAGTCCCCAGCACCACTAAAAAAAAAAAAAAAAAAATTAAATGATATAACACTTTCTATGTTAGAGTTTACCTCACTTCAAAACTGACTTAGAGGAAGCAAAAAGACAGCTCAGTTTCTATGGTCATTGTCACTTACTGCTAGATCATTCATTCTCCCAAGTCTGCGGGGCCCAGGGAGGCAGCCTGCTGAGTGAGAACAGGCCTCCTCCCTGGTCTCCTGCAGGCGGGCTCCGGTCCTTCCTGTGGACAGCAGCTTGGGCATTTCCAGCGAGCACTGCTCATGCAGGCAGACCGACAGTGAAGGGCATCTCAGGGTGAGGCTGGCCTACGATGAAGCCTGCCCTGAATGTGAGTCTCCACCAGGCTCCCCCTGTGTCCACTGGCTGCAGCAATTGGCGACCTAGAGCACATGCATGGGAAGGTTCTAGTTCCGTCTCTCAGGGGAGAATGGAATGGCGCACCCTGTCACATCTCCGAACAAGCCTAAGAAAAGTCTGAGCTGCCTCCCAAATGCTGGAGCACACTCCCGTGATCCCAGGATCTGGAGAGATGGCAAGGGTGAACATCCACATGAGGACAGGGATGTGGATGTACCGAGGTTAGGGCTGGTCTCATTCTGCTGAGTGCTGCCCTCCACAGGGCCACCAGCCAAGGCTGGAATCCGGCTTGAGGGGAGACATCTGAGTGGCGTGGAGTCCCCTTACAGACATAAGAAGGGTTAATCTGCCCAACACACTGAGGTGGGACATCTGCTTGAAGTGCCACGGGGACAAGGCTGGCACAGGATAATCCAACACTTGCCAAAGGTGTCTCCCCACACTTCTGCTGTTAAGCGAGTGTGATGGGACCTCTAACCCCACGACCAGAAAGGTCAGAGGGAAACAAGTCCTGGCAGAAGGGCGAGCCCAGACACCATCACAAATGTGCATTCAATGTGGACTATTTACAAAAAGTACATGAACATGATATTTATGTATCAACTACAAGTCTGAAGAGCCAGGGCTTCAGTCTGTCACCGCAGTCACTGCAAAATGAGGTAACTGAGATGTTAGCAGAGGTTAATGCAGCCTGGGTCCTCAGTGTCTATGCATGTGTGGATTCTTCAGTGACAATTTGATCATTTCTATTCGCATGATGAAGACAATGTCCTCAGTCCTGAATGTCATCCAAGCTGGGGCTGGGGACCTGGTTTGGCCTGGTAACTGGTCTTCAACAACAAGAAATAAGGTCGTCCTTTACAGATTGGTCTCATCCCAGGCAGGATCATTCATGTTCTTTAGCACCTTCCTCACCAGCTTTTCCAGGTCCTTGCGGGCCCTCTGTTCTTCCTCTAAACACTTCTTCATCTTTTTGTTATCCTGCAAGTCAAGCAGACCACAGCATGTTCACTATCCGTGGCACTCAGCGGAGCCTCTTTCCCCTAAATTACACCCTTGGGGTGACTGTGGTAGGGTGGGGGTTAGCAAAGCCGAAATGCACTGCAGTATGGTGCTCAGTGGAGTCCCTCCTGGGAGCCAGACGGTTCACAGCGGGAGGAACAGCCCCAGTGGCCCTTCCCGTAAGTTCCTAGTGACCGCCTTGATGAAGCACACCAGAGAAAATGGCTGAAAACAGCGGCGGAGCAACTCCATCCCTGCCTTTCTTGCAGCATCAAAGGAATAGAAGCAACAGAAACTCCGTGAGCCAGAGTGAATGCCCGGGTATGCTTAGCCTGGACTGGAAAGCTTATCACACAGGGCAAGGAAGCCCTGGGGCTCTTGGGAGCTGCAAAGGCACATCTAGCCAGCAAGGCATATCCAGCCACACCACACCCCGGGGCACAGTGCCATCTCCAGCGCCTGTCCACCTCCCTGCAAACCAGCCCTGGCCTGTGCACACAGGCCCACCCGCTGACCAGCCCAGCATTGCTGATTTCTGGTCCTGGCTTCTGACGCGCACGACCACCTGTGAGAGCCCAGTCACACAGGCACCAACAGAACTTGTAACTAGGTAGTTTTCAGACTGTGTGACTATTCCAACAAAATCTGACATGGTTTATGACATCAAAAACAGGACGGTTGGATGAGTCATTTAGAAGCACACTTCCTGGTCTATCCCACTCACAGAGGACCAATGGCTTTCGTGCTGGAATTCCACAGTACAAGATCTTTTAGTTTTTTTCTTTCTTTTACTTATGGACAATCACCATTTTTGATAGTGTTTTCCTTTTTTCTCCCTTAAAAAAAGTAAAACGAGTGCTGACTCACCTGTCGTAGCTCCTGGACTTCATCCTTCAGCGCATACACTGTGTCCACCAGACTCCTGGAACAGAAGAGCGTGCAGGTCAATGGGCAGCACTGAGCGCCAACGGAGCCACAGGGCTCTCCCGGCTCGCCTCAGCCTATCTGGTCTCACAACTTTAACAACCCAGCCCATTCTGTGCTCAGCAGGTTGATCTCTGCTGAGGTTAAGTCCAGCCCACAAGGAAAGTCTGATGGTCAAGTTCTGGGCCCCAGCCCCAGGGGAGTTCTGACTCCATTACCCACTGCACACACTGGAGACTCTTACTTTTCCTCCATCACTGTCTGACCGTTACTTTTAGTTTCTTCAACTATTATTTTCTCTTCTTCTGGAAGCAAGACTTGTGGAGCAGATCCTTTGCGTGAACCTAGGATTGTTCAAGGAAAAAAAAAACCTCAGGTGAATGCCGTGGCAGACCCAAGAAAGGGCTCAACTACAACACCCTCTACACGCTCCCACAAAGAATGCCTCAACCCCACAAGGAGGGCGCCCCACACTCCCCTCCACCTCTGTCCACGGCGCAGGTGCTTCATGCCCACGGCATTGCAGAGGGAAACACCAACCTTTCTGTAATGTATTCAACTTTGTTTCTGAATCTAGATTATAATCTTTAAACATAAAAATTTTCAATAGCAAGTAAGTTAAAAGGTTCTGACCACACTGCCCTAGATATTTAGCCAAATTTTAAGTCATTAAATTGTCGCAGAAATTCTAGAAAGACACACAAGATCATATACAGCATATATACTAAGTGTTTATAAATATAAAAACTGGCCATTTAAAAAAGTTTAACACCATAGCAACTTCTAAGAATACAGATATGACAGCACATAATTTAGAAAAAAATAAAATTCATTATCTGGTTATTTTATAAAAACTTCATTCTCCATTCCCTGGAACTGTTCTAAATAAAAGAAAGACAAGTGTTCATAATGTCAGAGGAACACTTATGCCATTCAACCAACACAAGCACAGGAGCCTACAAGGGACAGCCCCAAGATGAATGAGGCGAGGGAGGCACTCAGAAACCAACTCTGAGGTCCAAGTACTCTTTTTCAAAAGGTGAGGGAAGAGAACCACATCCCGTGATGTGAGAAAGAGAAGATTTTCTCAAAGATCACACAGTGTGGAAGCATGCATCACTCATATTTTTGGAAAACTACACCAATACACATGGGAGGAAGGTACGATGTACCACAAACACCTGCAGTGGTTCTAGGGGAAGGGGACATTCTCTTGGAAAAGTACACCTGCCCTCTGAGGCAAGCTGACTGGGAGAGGCAGGGTTTCTGAAGCTGCTGTCTTCCTGAAAGTCTGTCAGGCTGCAAGAAGCACACCTGTTGAGCACCCCTGTCACCATGGAAACCGGAGGGCGGTACAAGTGTTTTAAAGGCAGAATTGCAAAGATAGCTTCCCCAGCACCGTACTATACAGAGGCAAGATGTACAGTTGCTGCCAAGAGGGACCAGCATCCCTGACAGGCAAGCAGGGCTGGCCATTTGGCAATGGCAGTTCAGAGACACTGCAGCCTAGGGGACCAAGGCCTCAGGCAAGTCTCCCTGGACTACCCTCTGTGCACCCGCAAAACCCACTCTATCAGAGGGCACCAGGCACAAGCCCCGTGCCAGACCAGAAGGGCAGAGACTGGATCAAACTAGGGCGCTGTGTCCACCCTCAGTAAGCTGAGGGCAGAAGAGCACACTCTGGGTAAGCAGCCACGCACAATTCGGCATTATACAGTGTGAGCTCCATGTCAGTCATTTCTGACACCCCTGAGAGGAGAGGCTTCTCTGTGCACTGAGACCAAGCACAGTGCTGAGAATTCTGTCCAAGCCACATGAGCAGGCATGCTGAGTATTCACCAGGAAATGTCTAGACTATTCCAAGACAGTCTTCCCATGCAAGGTGCCCTGTTCACAGTGGTAGGCAGGGGCTGCAGCTACCACCCCTTCCACAGTGACCCAGATCCCAGGGAGACTGAACTTCAGATGCAGTCCTGCAGAGAAACACATTTTTAAAGCATCACCAGGCTGACCACGTCAGCCCCCAGAGACCTCTGACAGGTGCAGCAGACAGGCAGAGACCCCCTCTAGGTGACAAGGGACCATGAGAGACCTCCCGGGACTGCAGGCTGCCTCCTTCTAGGCTTTTCCTGTTAGTGGGGAATGCTGCGGGCCACACAGACCACAAGAGAACTGCAGGGAAAGCACAGGTACCAGCCAGATGAAAAGTCTCCTGTGCCTCTTATCCAAACTTCTGTTACCTGTCTTTCGAAGGAAAAGTTAATTCATGTGATATCTGCCCAGCAAAACACAGAAGGATTCCAAAGAATCAGATATTTATACCCCAGTGTAGACAACAAAGGGCTCCACTTAATCTTCCCTGTGAAGACAAGTAAGCTGGTCACAGTACACAATTCAGTAGATCCTGAGTTTCCTAAAGTTATCAAGTCCCCAAGAGCCCTACTTTGGGTCCAGATGACTGATGACTACCTCAGAGTCAAAAGAGACATCAGTGGGGAATGTGTCCTGTTCAACTTGCAATACACATCTTCAAAAGGACCATGGAGAAAGAGGAGGTGGAGAGGTTCTATGTAAATACACTCAGGCAGATTAAATTCTACCAGTACAATGAGTACACTGCTTACAAACGAGTAAGATAAAGTCACAAAGGACACCACTCTGTGAGAAAGGAGGTGCTATGAGATGTGAGGGCCACGTGCCCCGGGTGACTCTGGTTAGGAGTCTCAGCTCATTACCATCTCTACATTAAACATTGAGGATTAAACACTGTTTTACAACTATTTCTTACCAAACAAATTCATGGATAAACGCCTCAAGTTTCTAAGTAACATAATTAATCTGAGGACCTAAAACCCATGAGGACCAGTAAATGGCTGTATATGCATGACTCCGATCTCACTTTTGCAAATACATTAAATGGCTACAGTAAGTATGAGAATAAATATTACAGACAGAATGTACTAACTAACTGCTCTGTTCCTGAAACATTGCAACGTGGATAATGCTGCTGATCAATCTGAGGTGAGCCAAGAGGCTTATAAATCAAGGTCAGAAGTTTGCCGAGGAGTTCATGCAATGCCAATCATGTGTCCAGTTTCAGTATAACATATTTTTATAAAATAACAACAACAACAACAACAAAAAAAAACGAAAAATCTTTCAACAAAACAATAAAGAAATATTTTCTAACCAGGTTTGTAAATAAGTTGGCTAATCTCAGATATTATTAAAGTATTTCTTAGAGGGACTGTGGCACAATTTTCCTGAATTATCTAGGCTAGGAAAAACACTTAACAGCACAACAAGCAAAGAATGGTCTGGCACTTCATTTAAAACCCCACAACTGGGCTTCAGACACATGCCCAGGTTTTGGGTGGCTCCAGGACAGGGAGAGCTGAGCTTCTCGACTTTGTGGAGCTGGGAACAGTAGGGGAGGCTCAGGAAACACCACGTTCTGCAGCCGCTGCCTGGAGATTCACCGCACCCTGCACAGCATTATGGGTTTGCTGAGGTTTGCCACAGCACTCCGCTCCTGGGACGTAGGGAACTCATCTGAGTGCTCAACATTTTTTTCAGCATCCACATTAGCATCTTGGGTTTTCTGGGTAACATCTGAGCGGTACTAACTAGCCTACAGACCTAAGTCTGAAAAGACAGACAACTGCTGATTTGTCCCTGGACTTACGGTTTCGGTATGGAGGCGGGAATAAGAAAAACGTAACACAACAAAACACTATCTGTACTACCAATCCCGCACTTCCTCATACTGAAGGACTCTAATGTGCCTGCAGGTGCACAGTGTCCACCCTTCAAGGCCTGCTGGAACAGTCCACATGGTCACTTTAGGAGCACTAGTGCCACACGGCAGAGACATGAGTAGCCCCTGGGTCCCCATGGCAGTATCCATTTCATACAAGGTGTGATCCTGTGGGAACACATCATTAGCCACGTCCCAGAACCTTCCCCCAGGTCCCAAGGACTATGGACCTTAATGTGATAAACACAGGTCTCATCTAGCAATTCCACCTTATGGATGAGGTGACGTGCTCAGGCTGTAGCAGAGCAGGGATCACCTGGGACTCCACGCCTGTCTGTGCTGTCGTCCTGGCTGCTGGAACACCACTGGGGGGGGGGGGCGGGAGCACACACCGATGACACACAACCACAGAGCCTTAAGGTCAAGTCCACGGCAGGTGTGACGTGTGTGTAGGCTGCGCCTGTCAGCAGAGCGGCTGTCTATGGGCCAGCAGTCAGTCCGTCCGTCCATCTGGTGCTTTCCCTCTTAGGCCTGTGACCTTCCCAGTCTGCACCAACTACATCAACTAAGGAGGCGACTTTGGGAGGGACCAAGCATTCCACTTAGAAACCTACTTGGCAGACTCTCCAAGTCCACGCAGGCCATGCTGTTCCACGGCTCTGAGGCTGGAGCCCGCTTTTCCTTCCTAGGGAAAGAAGGCGGGCCTCTTCCCTGAGAGCTCTCCATCCACACCTCAGCCTAGCCCTGCACTGCACCAGCGACTTCTTCCTTCCTTTTACTCTGCTTGCTTTCCTCTTCTGAGTCATGGGCATGCACTTTGTAAAACAAAAGGAAAATGCTGACTTTAGTTTAAATTTAAAAAATTTGAAAGTCGTGCTTTTTTCCATTTGTGCCCCCAAACCAATAATGATTCTTTTTTGAAGACAGACCTTCCAGTGATTAAAAATTTGTTTTAAAAAAAGAAAGGGATATAAAACACAAGAATGGGCCAGGAGTGCCCTGTGTTATCTAGCGCACAGCCAGCCTAAGAAAGCCGCAGCTCCTTTCCGGAGGCAGAGTCTCCAGGCCTGCGGCCTGGCCCGCCTTGGAGATGCTGTGCTGGGGAGGAAAGTCCTGCTGTGTCAGCGGCAAACTGTGCTCTTCCCCTCCCCCACGGAACAAATATTAAAAGCCACGGGCTAGCAAATGCAAAATTTATTTCAACTGTACATAACATGTCTTTTTTTTAATATAAAACAAACACTTCATTGCCATATGCAACCACAAACAATAATATGCATACTGTACAATACAATGCAACATTCAGATATACATCCAAGTGAATTTTCAAATGGCAGTCATGTACTAAAAATGGCTTTTCCCATTCACAGATAAAGAGCACAATATATAGCTTTTGTCCAAGATCTTATACCACTATATACACATTACTGTGTTTTGGCAATTTTAGGCAAAACACAAAATTAGATAGCGTATTAAATACTTCTGGCGCATGTTAGTTCAATGGGAACATCTGTAGAAGGTCTGACGCTGGCCTAGACCTGCCTCCTAGCCCAACCTTCAACCTTCTGTCATGAAATCAACCATATCAGAAGGCAGGCTTGCAGAAGCCTGAAGTTCGAGTGTGAGCACGAATGACGTCCCACGGAAGTACACAGGCTGGCCTTTGGATGTCTGTCACCTGCTACATGAAGACCATCTTCCAGGCCTGTGCACTAACACTTCTAACCAGGTCAAAAAAAGCCAATGGTGTCAGATTTTGAAATGAATTCAAATAAAGAAAAAGCCAGACTATTATTCTGTAGTGATCTCATCATCAACAAAAATCATCAAGTGGCTTTCACTGATACAAAAAGAAATGAGGGCAAAGCATCAGAACTTTGGTGCAGAGAAACTGATGACAACCAAATGAGACTTGGGCTGAAGGAAGTCCAAGTGCGGCAGCTGCACCTCACTGTGGTCCCGCAGCACTAACTGGCAACCGCACCAACGAAGGCGCAGCCAAGGCATCGAAGCTGCCGCGCTAGTTACCACAGTCCCAAAGCAGGTATTCTGTGAATTCCAAAAAAGAGCATTACTCTGTGTGATATAAAAACGAAATTGCTTCTAAATCCATTGCATGATATTAGGTAAGTATAAAAACTTTGCATTAGACTTGTCAAAAATCTCCACTTGCTATTTGAATACACGCAAACCTCGTCTCTACTATAGATTAATACTGGGTGCTAATTTCAGAAGACTGCTCCTCCACTTTCTTATTTTACTAATTGATATAAAAATATGAAATCTCCAGTTAGTGCGAAAAGCTCTGTGGCTGTGGGAACACACTGGTGCCCCAGGGCCCTGTGCCTCGCCTCACTCCGGCAGACATGGCACCCAGCTTGCTGAGCAGCACGCCCCACCAGGAGTTCACTAGCACCGCTGGCGGGCAAGCAGCAGGGCCAGTTCCCAGGCTCGGCACTGTGTCAGAGCGCACAATGCACAACACTGAGCATGCGGGCTGGCGAGGGGTGGTGGAGAGACGCCACTGCCACCCGGAACTCCAGCGCCCTAGAAAGGAAATAATGTTATTTCCGATTCACCATGGCATCCTGTCTCTGAAGCTGGTTCCAATGGACACGTAAAATACAACCAAGAGGTTCCATTTTAACACCAAACAGCGTGTGAGGGAGAAGACGGTTCTGCCCCCAAAGCCATGATCAGGCGTGGGCGTGCTGCTGCAACTGAATGCAACACACCACATTCAGTCTTTCTCAAGCGACATCAGCCCAAGGGAGGCCAGTGAAAACTCCTTACAACCAATCCCAGGAAGGCAGGGTGGTTTTCTCCAAGGGACATGGCAGCCTTGTGCCTTCCCCGACCCACACAGTGAGGCGTGGGGCTAATTCTGCAGGGCTGTGAATGGAGTTTCACTGTAGGTGGCTGCTGGAAGCAAGGGTGTGCTTGCGGCTCTCACAGACAGCGCAGCGTGGATGTCAGGGGCAGCCGCCGTGATGGAAGCCAAGCGTACAACCCTGCACGCTCTGCGCACAGCCTACTCTGCAGGAGCGAGATGCTTCCTTCCGACTTTGGACCTAAAGTTGTAGTGCTGGGGCTCTGAATAGAGCGGCTCAGCGTTTCAGTGCCATGGCTGCAGTCCCAACAAGGCAGGGGATGTGCTGTAATGATCAGTGACTGCACTGCAACTGTGAGCTCGCCTTTGGAAAGAGGAGCTCCCCGCAAACGCCACATGCAGGACACATGAGGGCACAGAGCTATGGGGGTCAAGACAGCTCTGAAAAATGCAACACCCGCCCTTCTGTGTACCTGCCAGGACCAGAGCCACACAGCACTGCACGGCAGCATGACGCGCATCACTCGCACTCGGAGCCTCATTACAGATGCTCCTCTCAGTGCCTTGCCACAGCTACTTGGTCAAATGTTACACATAAAAAAACCTAAGTTCCTACATAAGGCCAGAGTCTCCTCTGTGTTGCTGGCACTTAAGATCGCAAACCTGTGTGGTTCTGGTATAAAATACAAAAGTGTCCATACAGCTGTATCCAAAAAGAAATGAAATAGTCGCTACACAGAAGGAGAAAAAAAAAAAAACATTTTGAGTTTGTATAAAACAATGCTCCATTGGGAAAAGCACCCTTGGTACAGGCTCATGTGAACCCACCATCTTCCTCAACAGGCAGCAGTTTGAATGCATACTCAGATTGGCAATTAAGCCTCCACGAGGTACAATGGAAAATACCAGGAACACTCTCAAAAGTTGTTAAAATATCACATAAAAGAGACAAGGAACAGCAAGAAACATCTAAGAAAAGCAGGCTGCGATACAACAAGCATTGGTTAAGAAAAGCTCAGAAGTGCATTAGTTCTGGTGAGATATATATGAGCAACAGCTCTTACGAGATGCAGAACCCATTCTGTAACTATGGGCTGTCCATATACTGTCATACTCAGAGTCTTCCGAGAGGTCTGAGGGCTCCAAACGAGAAAGGCTACTGCGACGACCCAAGGAGTCTAGACTTGATTGGTCGTCATCAGCCAAGACGTGATTATGCATCAGGTCAGTGCCTTGCCATGCTAAGACGGGGTGGGGTGGGATGGTGGAGTGACAGGTGCGACAGGCAGAGGTGGGATGAGGAGGACGGACAGGAAGAGCCACAACCAAAACATGAAACAAAAGCAAAAGGTGATGGGAAGAGAAGGAAAAGAGAAAATATTGTTAAAAAAATGGCAACAATGCTTATTTCTCCTTATTTATGGCTGGGTTTTAAATAATGAACTTATTAATTAGCACAACCCTCAGAACAACACTAGATCAGTTGTTTTAATAAACCTATATCCAATATTATCTCTAATTGCTCTTTTGTTAAGATAAAGCACTCACCTAAAAAATTTTCTACAGATTTGCCCATGTCCAAATGATTCCATAAACACTTGACAATTAACTACTTCCTATTAACAAATGGTCTCAGGACATTATACATAAAAGGTACCATTTATGTAGCTGAAACTACTGCCTATTCAGTGAACAAATGCATTAAATGCAAAATAATGTCAAATATGTTTTGACTTACTTCTTGATCTCTGCAAGCTACACATCACCAGCAGGGGTCTAAACTTACCTTATCAACCTACAATCAGTGCAAAAGGTTCAGAGTGGAGAAAAGAATTTAAGAGGGTGCCTGGCCCTTCCACTACTGCTTGCGGGGCTTGCCAGAGCAGAGGTCGAGTTTATTCACAATGTTATCAACCTGGTGCAGGCCTTTCCCCATCAGAATGACAGGCATGAACAGGCGATGCTACTATGCTAAGAGGAGATTGGCAGTGGGCAGGGAACGGCTGGGATAGAGAGCAGTGAACCTGGCAGGCAGCTGGGCACGAGAGCATGCAGGGCTGCAAAGGGCCTCCCTCAGGGAGACGGCTGTGATGGGGACTGGAAGCCACAGCAGCAAGGAGCCTCTGTGCAGACTGCATGTGAACTAAGCCTCCACAGTCTGTGCAGGCCACTACTTCCTTGAGCAAAAATCAATACTCAGATCCTTGGTTTCTAAAGTCCTGTTGGTACCCAAATGCACACTGAACTGAGCTGAATTCTGGTAAAATAAACTCCTTCTAAAAGCTGTTGTTACTGCACATTAGCATGCCAAAGCTGCTGCACTGTGAGCCATCTCCACTTGGTGAGGAAGGGTGCCCTCCTGCACAGACATGCATGCCTCATCATCACCTGTGCTGGCAGTGTGAGGTCGATGCCTTGGCTGATTATCCTCTCTGTCCCAGGCAGTTCTGCCCATAGTATCAACCAAAAGCAAATCAGACTACTGACCAATGCTTTCTTGCATGGGAAGAGTGGACACGGTGACATGGACATTGCACTAAGAAAGGCTCTGTGGAAGCTGCAGGTCATCCCTCTGGCATACCTGGCAGCAGCGAAGCCATAAGGTGGCCCTGTGAGGCCCACAAAGCACACGCACCCCTGAGAGACTAGGACCTTCAGCTGAGACTACTAAGTTAAACTTTATTCAAGTAACTGAAACTCAGAGGACCACTTTTTAAAAATCCCAAATTCGAAATCAATAAATTTATAAACATTTTATAGTCTAGTCTACCTAAAATACAATCACTAACAAATTATGAAAATGTAATACCTTTAATCACAATACTCCACACTTACAAATGACTGCCTAACTGCACACATAGGTGTTCTAGTTTGCTGGAGTACCCAGGCCTTTCCACTTCTTTCCCATCCCTCGACCAGACACTACAATAGGCACCTTCACCAGAGAGTAGACTTCACCAGAACAAGGACATTGCTGACCACTAGAAAAAAATCTAAATGAAGACACTAGAAATGTAAAAAAGGTTGAGGCCACACACATCTACCTGGCCCCTGATGGCTAGCTTATGTTCACAGCCACAGGCACCTCTGACAAAGCTGCACCGGCTACAAAGTCCTTGTCCCATGTTTCTGGTTTTCAGCATTAGTTAAGTAGGACACACGCTAAGCTGAAACGCCACACCTGCAGGCATGAGAATGAAGACGGGAGGGACATGCTCTGCCAAAAGCCACGGGGGAAGAACCCAAACTCACCAAGGGAAGCCAGCTTTTATGCCCAGGTCATGTCTCAACCACCCAGGTCTCCAAGGCCAAGAAAAGCCCCCAAAATAAGGAGCAGCAGGCCAAGAGGCCCACTGAGGTGGAGAGGCCCCCCCTGGGCCATGCACTGATGCCCAGCTGCCGCCACACTGTGCTGCCCTCACCCCTGCCAGGGAGATGTGAAAAGCCACCTCCTCCCTGTTCACACCACAGACTGAACTGTTTCTACTTAAACATTATACATAAGACACGGCAAATTCTGTGGTGATCAATCAACCAAATTAAGGTAGTTTGTGCTTATTTCCAAATATTTATAAGAAAAAGAAAGGGAAGCTAACAGAAGCCTCACTCTAGGTTTATATTTTGGACAATAAACAACAATTCTGAAGAGCTTAAAGAAAACAAGCCGAGTCCCTACCTTACAGCAGCAATGTGAAGGCTGAACAAGTAGCCTTCTACTGTCGTCTGAGCACAGCTAGGTGCAAGCCTTAGCAATGCTGCCGGCGCCCTATGGAGAGCACTGGCCACAACACACGCTGCTGCTCTGCTCAAGCTGAGATCCTGCTCACGTGACTCAGGGCTCCCTGTGTGTTGCTTGACATATCTCTGAGACCTCCCTCCTTCCCTCCCTCAGAACAGCTCAGGCATGCAGCAACGTGTAGATTGTGACGAGAACACACATCCCAGCGCGCTCCTGTGAAACTTACTTGAGTTGAGGGTCTGCCGTGTCTTGGCGCTTGTGCAGTAAGCCTCGATGACCTTCAGAATCTGAGCATCTTCTTCCAGAGCCGCCGTGCCTGCAGAGAGATGCAGAGGCATCACTCCCAGACACCCATCCCACAGCCACACTCCACAAGCGGTCGGACAGGGTGTGCTCAGAGGCATCAACTCAGCTGACACCAGCAGGTGAGAGAGCCCTCCTTTTACTTTCTCGTCAGGCAACTACTCTCTTAATATCTACAAATGTGTATATTCAAAAAGGATTTTTCAGTTTTTTAAATATTTTATCTGTAATTTATCTAGCAAAGGGCTGCTATCCTTAGCTGTCTTGCTAAGCCATTAAAAAAAGGAGGCCCCTCCCACACAAATTAAAAAAGGATGAGAGAAAAGAGTCAGCAACTCACAAAAGCACAGTTAGTAGGGAAAGCCATTCTACCTCATCAACAAGAGCCTGGGCTCACATCCTCGAAACCAACCCGACAACACCAACACCAGCAGAGGTGGGCAGTGACCTCGAAAGGCATCTGATGCAGGCCTGCAAAGGAGCTTCCCTCTAACACAAATTCCTACCTTAGAGGTCAATCTACAAAATTCACAAGCCAGGTCAGCGCTCCTCACAGCCTCCTTGCAGAGCCCTTCCTTGAGCCGGCTCTTGGACACTGGCCCTGTCTCCACTGAGAGCAGGCACAAGAACACAGGGTTAAAGCCCGAGGCAGTGGCAGTGGGCACAGGCTCTCACATCAGCGTGCACCCAGGAGGTGTTACACATATGGGCAAGCGGCTTATTTTCTTTATCTTCCTCTTTTTCTGTTTTCTTTCTTTCCTAAGATACTACTTGGGTACCTATTTTAAAAGGCTCACCTACTCTAATAGAAAATGTGCAAAGAACAGAAGGCTAAAGTATTAATAGTGGTATAACAATGAAGCCTCGATGTCATTTTGAGAGAGTAAAATTCATACCAGTATTCAAACCCAATATTCATTACTAGACAATAACTCACAATGCAAGAACTTAAGAGCTCCCAAGAAAAGGCCTAAATCTCACTAAGTGGAAACAATCTTCCGACAGGCTCCTGTAACAACCCACTTCTTCAGAGGCGAGAAGTCCACTTCCACCGAGGGCTCCTGCAGGGAACTTCCAAAGGCAGGCTGTTCCCTGTGGTGGTGCAGGACTGTGTCTTTGTGAGGACCCTATCAGTCCAGCTGATGTAACCAACTGCCCGTGTGAGACATGGCTGAGTACAAAGGAAGGCAGAGAATGAGGCAGGAATCTGAAAACAACTCTGGCTTTCAACAAACCACCATGCTGATCTACCTTCGCCACTGCGGGCAGATGCAAGTAGCCAAGGCGGGGAATCACACACTTGCTGTGTGGTCTGAGCCATTTCACAGACTAGAACAACGCTGGGATCCTGGATGCAATAAAGGCTGAAACAACTTATGAAATCACAGTGGCTTAAAGCAGCGAGGCTCACCTGCACCCGCGATACGTGGCACTGTCACAGAGACCACTCACACAGAATTCCCTTTAGTCCTCTGTCTCTCAGGTCCTCCTGACCCTCACATGCGAGGACTACAGGGCAGGGCACTTGGATACCCACTGCTTCTCCTCTCCATCGGCCCAAACTTGTGCTTGAAATAACACATCTTCACCCCAGTCTGGGCCTTCCCCGGACATCGAATCATATGTTCACCATCCAGCTAATACTTGCTCCTGGATACCTCCTGAGAGCCTCACGCTCTACATCATCCTGGCTGGCCCAGCCCTGTGCCTGCCCTGTCCATCATGGCTCCTGTAGTGCACCCCAAGGCCACAATGCTGAAAACCACAGGCCTCACATACAAGGCCTGTGGGCCTGTACTCCCAGCCTCCACACTGCTTATCTGCTGCACAAGATGAGTCTGTAGGATGCTGTGTCTCTACCACAGAGGACAGTAGCCCTCACCCAGCTGTAAGGACTAGAATGTCTTCAGACATTGCTTAATGTGCCCTGGGGCAAATCCCACCCAGAGAACCATTACCATAGGTCCTACCTTCATTCAGCACCCCCACCCAGGACATCTGCCCACATTTTACCGTCACCATCAACCTGGGCCCACTACCATCCCCTCTCACCCTCACCACCTGGCTCCACTTTTGCTTCAGCCTGCTTGCTCTCATGCAATAGGCGAGGCCTCTGGACCCTGAGGCACCCCACTGCCTGAGGCACCTCAAGGGCTCTGGCATCACCAGTCCCTCACTCCCCAGGCAGCCCCTTCTTGCACCTGCAGCCAGGGCTGAAGAGACTGCAATGCCTCTACTCAGATACTGCCCTTGCATGGAAGCCGTCCCACCAGCCCCGGCCAGTCTGAGCACTCCCCAGACATGCGCTGAGAGTTTGTCTTGTTTCTCCTCTGTCTTCTGCAAAACCTGAGCTCTAGGAGGTCAGGGATGTTTCCTTCTTTCACAGCTGTGTCTCTCATACCAGCACAGACAGGGCTAAGTGTCTGCCAGTGACTGACGAGCGCACCTGCGTCTATGGCACCCATGACAATAGATGTGTGCTCCACACAGAAGGTGCTGAGCAAATACCTGTTATGAGAGGGCCACCAGACATCCCGGAGCCCAGCCTCATCTCCCCTGCACAGCAAGCAGTGGCAGCCAGGAGGACACAGTGGGCCCAGCCAAGCCTTAGGCACACCTCACAAGGACTGCACACACTGCTCTGGTGGACTGGAACCTGTGCACCAGGGCAAGGAGCAGGCAGTACAGCCACCCACACCAGGTGATGAGGACAGGGCGATCACATCGGAGCTGCTCAAGAAGCTGCTGTCTCATTGGCTTCCCCCACATTAAAATGGCCTCACACAAAGGATGGAGAAGAAGCTGCTTAGCACCTGGATCAGAGCTGCTGGACCAAGCTGGCACCTTTCCTGGTGATGCCAAAACTACCCTCAAGTTCTGAGTAAAAAAATCTCTCCCTTGGGCCTTCTTTTGGAAATAAGCCCCTTAAGGGTCCCAATGAGTACAGTGAAAAGAAAAGTGACTCCCGAGAATTGCAAGGCCTGCGGAAGACACCTGCTGGCTAATGTGCTCTGTCCTGCAGGGAGGGACATCAGGGTGGAATGATCATGCCCTGTCCCCACCAGGAGCTTTCCTTCAGCCCTGGACAGTCCCCTAGATGGCCACATGCTTGCTGCGCCCCTCTGCAGCAGTCACCAGGCCTGATGTGCAGGGTAAGATGAGTCTGTGTGCCCTGTGGATGCTGTGTGATACCCCTGGTCTACCATTGAGGGTAGTAGCCCTTACCCAGCTGTGACAACTATAGTGTCTTCAGACATTGCTGTATGTCCCATGGGGCAAATCTCACCCAGCATGAAGCAGGGCAGGGAAACTTCCCACTGGTTCAGCAAGTGACTAACTTTATGAATCCCAAAGCTATGGCCTGAGCACCTGAGTGTGAGTTTCCCTGTGAGCACAGTATAGGACCCCAGGGTAGGGCAGAGACTGCTTCTAGCTCCCTGGAGCCTATGAAAGCTCACCTCTGAGTCCCCCAGGAAGAGACAGCAAAGACTGTGATCCTGATATGTGAAGAGAACAGGCCACAGCCCTACTGGGTGGAGAGGAAACTCCAGGAATCCTAGCATGTCAGGCTTCATGGGCCAAGTGGATAAGAGCAGGTAAGGCCCCATTTACAGCACAGTCCTGCCCCCAGCCTCCTAACCCATGTTTCCTGCCCATCTGCTGGTCCCACCTCAAGGAGTAGGCCCTGCTGCCTGCAGTTATGGGAAGACCATAACTGTTTCTCCAGCCGCTTCTCCACCGTGCACGTTAAGCCCCCACACCCAGTACAGGGACTCACTTTTCCGCAAGGCGAACTCCTCGTCTGAAGGCTTCCGTTCAGGTTTGCGCTTCGGCAGCAGCTTTTTCATGGTCTTGGGACTCTTACTAAGATCCTGGGAAACACAAAGGACAGGAAACACTGACAGATGCCAAAACCTGCCGGCTCTCCTGGGTGTCAGGACAGTGCCCCAAGGCAAAGCAGCCACACACACTTCCCCCAACTCTCACTGGCCTTTGCCAGCGGTGGAACAGTGGTGAAAGACCAACAGGTGTCTTCGGCATTCACCACTGATCCCCTCAACTCCAACAGGGACCCCTGTGCTACCTGGGTCTTACCAGTCCTGGGATGGCAAGTGGCAGAGGTCCCCACTGGCAAGAGAGAAAGGGCAGGCGGTGGGAGCTGGGCTTGGCCACTATGGAGCAGACCTGCCTGGCACAGCTGACTAGGGAGAGGTGAGGGAACCGAGGCAAGTCAGCTCCTGCAGCAAAGTGCTTGAAGCCTCCAGGGAGAGGCCACACACCCACCGCCCTGGGCCCAGGCACAGCTGTGGCGCACGCACAGCCAGTCCCATGCCTGCTTGGGAGGGACCACCGGCCCTGCCCACTTGGCACATCTTCATCCTGAGGTGAAAACTAAGTGGAGGTGATGGGACAGGTGACGTCTCAACTGCTGAGCACATGCTGGACATAGATACTGAAGAAGGCTGTCCCACACTCGGGGCAGACATGCTACAGAACCCAACTCAAAGCACTAAGGGAACAGAGCCTGACTTCTGACGTTACCACTTCAAAATCTTCTCTGTGTAAATGAACATGTACAAGGTCTTCTCAGTGCCCCAGGAATCAGTTTCCGAAGAACCACTTCCAACGTGGGCTCCACGGCTTCTCTGACTCAGAAGAAGTTGCCAAGACCCCTGGAGAGGTCAGTGCCCTGCCCTGCCCTGCCCTGCCCTGCCCTGCCCAGCAGGCACCTGCACACCAGGGCTCAGGGAACAGGATCCAGCACCTCTGCCCGCACCCTGCACCCACCAGGCGGCCTGATGGGCAGCACTCCAGGGCTCCTGTTCCTAGGGACGACTTCTTACTAGGGTTTTAAGGCACTGGAAATAACAAGCTGTAAGCAGAGAATGAACGCACTTCTCTCTCCTGGCATCTAAAAGTCATTGGAGTGCGACGTATCACAACCAACATGCTTTTAAGCTTGCTTCCGTGACCCTCCCTCACCCCTTCTACTCCTTCGTCCAGCAGTCTCCAGTCATTAAACCTCCATCAGTGCTTGCCTGCATTATCTCACTTTTTCTTTATACCACAACACTAACAAAGAACATCAATATCCTTCATGCAGCTACCCACAATTTAAAACTTCTCTCTGGGGTGACTCTCGACAAGACTCTTAATGAGTTAAGAACAACATAAAGGCTGACTGAAATTTCGCAGATAGTACTCCTGCTTCGCTGGCATGAATGGAAGAAGGGTCTGCCCCAGCAACCCTGGCGATGTGGCCCCTGGCTGGATGTGCAGGCTCCAGGCCAGGATGCGGCACATCACCACATACAACTATGCTCATTTGCACACTCGTTCTTATGCATTTATACCCACACTTGTGCTCACAACTGCACTCTAATACTCATTTTCACATGCTCACAAGCTCACTTTCATTCTCACATTCACAAGCACACTCATCTTGCACACCCACACTCATTTCCACACATGCTTATAAGCCCACTCTCATTCTCAAACTCATAAGCCCACTTATCTTGCACACTTATAAGTGTGCTCATATTCATGCACATTCATTCTCGCACATACTTATTCTTTCACACTTACACAATTGCTCTTATCCTCACACACTCATGCATGACTCCTTATCACACGCACACTCACAAGCATGCACATTCTCTGTTCACAAACTCACACTCTTCTCATACACACACATCAATAACCAGTGTCCTCAGGTGAAGGCACTTCTCAGGATGCACTCTCAAGGTGTTCCCCTCCTGTTCAGGGCAGGCGCAGGGGCAGATGGACTTACTAGGAATGGCACCTGACATGAGGTGCACCTCACGTTTGGAACAAGACCCAGTCAGAATGAAGAAGTGCAGATTGCACCACAACTCCTCACAAGTTCAAGGAGCATCGCCTGACATGACTGTTTCCATTTTTATTTGTAAATGTTCTCTTCATCCGAAATTGCTCCAGGGTTCACGGATAGGATCTCAAACTGAAAGAATGGGCTAAGAGGTGTGGCACAAAGGCACGAAAGTCATGACTGCTTGGGGCCTATCCCTCCCCAGCTCCTGCCCTAGGTGCACACCCGAGCAAGTGAGTACACCCATCCCCCATGTCTCCTGAGACCCTAACAGTTGAAGGGAATGGTAAGAGAACCAAGGTGACTCTACTTCACAGCTCTCATGAAACTGATCTGCATTTTTTATGTCACAGAAACATGAATTTTCATTTCTGAATTCATTGAAACAAAAACTGGAGTGAAGTACAGAACAAGAAACTCACACAGACAGACTGGCTATTGTGTGAGCGGCCAAAGGACCTTACCTCCTTGTAGCAGAGTGCAGCTGAGGGCCGGAGAGGGGGCGCGGGCCGCAGGCAGCTCAGACTCCAGGGCTTGGGGGTCTTTGGAGGCTCCAGGGGCCCCCAGCTGATGGTGGTGTGCGGGGCACCATGGTGGGAGGGGTGGGGGAGCGTGTGGTAGGCAGGTGTCAGAGCCATGGGCTTGCTGTCTGCATGCTTGCTGGATGGGGTGACGGGATGCGAGGGGAGCTGCCAGGGACAAAAGTGAGAAGAGCAGAGAGAGCATGAGACCAGCAGAGTCCCGTAAAGGACTGAGCATGTGCACCTCACTCTGCTCCTTAGAGGCAGGAGACAAGCCTAGTGGTCCATTTCTGGGCTGGGCAAAGGGTTGCAGGCACTGTCTGCTACAGGAACACCTTACTCTTGTTGGAAGAAAGCAGTTCTGCACCATGGACTCAAGCCCGGCCTCCCACATTTAGGAAAAGGTTCATCACTCTGCAGGAGCGTCAGAATTTCCTAAGAGATCTGGCATTGCCTATACTGGAATGTGACAACAGGGGGAGGACACGCTCCCTAGTCACGTGATTCACTTCCTGGTGATCCTTGCACAACTAGCCCAGTGCTGCTAGGGAGGGACAATCTGCCCTGTCCACTAGGGCCTGGATACTGTGCTGAGGGAGAGGGAAAGGAAGGAGAGAAACATCTCCTGACACAGCAAGCAGGTCCAGTCCTGTCTGTGACCGCTTTCATGTTAAAAGGGCAAAGCTGAGTTGCAACAAAGGTCTATAAAGCCCCAAAGAGCTAGAACCTGGGCCTTGATAGAAAAGTGCCAATATCCAGGATAAAACAAAATACAACTTTTCCTGAAAAACTTAGCCATAGTGAAAACAAGCTATTCAAAATCTGATTTTTATAAGGGTGTGTCATTAATAAGGTTCATATTCCTGGAACACCCCTCCGCCTCCATTCCATCACACTGACAGTGAAATCAGAAAATGCTGAATAAAGTAAGTGGCACGCAGCAGGAGCCAGCAGCCTCAAGTCAGCCAACAGGCAGCACAGGCAGCTAGGAGGAGCGGCAACCTGGGGGCCACTCTCTGAATATATTCATGACATGGGAACACAGGCAAAAGGGGAAGGCCCCATGACTGGGAGTGCGAGCCTCCTGTACTCTCCAAAGGTGGCCCCTGTGAGGGGGGTGGAACTATAAAAAAAAAAAATCAGCTGACCGGCACAGCCGGATGACATTATTTTGAACACCCCTTCTGGCAATAATGCCACAGCAGGTAATGTTTGGTTCATTCCCCTCCAGTTGGAAACTCAGAAGATGGTGCTTGATGCTAAATGAGAATAAGACTCAGGCTGCGTTGCGGGAGGCCCAGAGATGCTTAAAGTGGTGAACCACTAAAGGAAAAATGAACCACTGGTAAAACTATCCCAACCTGCGCCCCCATGAAGATGTGAGAAAACACAAATTCAAAGTGCTGTGTAATCCTAATTCATTCTTTCAAAGATCTGCCCAGTTTTTCAATACTATTTGATAAAGATGATAAGTGTTTATTCGACATCAATTTATTACTAAACACCAGTACAGAGAGGTTTAAACACTGAAACTTTGGTGTTGATTCATTTTGATAAGTTCTCTCTAAAGAGCTGCTAAACTTTTTAAAGTGAAAAATAAATTCCTTAAAATCAAAACAGTGACTCAAAAACCATATTTTATGCCTTCAACATGAATCTGGCCCTTCTCGTCATTACCGTAATTTACTGTGTTTTTTGTTGTTTTTTTAAACAAACATAACACACACAGCTAAAATTTCTCATCCATGGACAGTGCTTTCTGGGGATTTTAGAAGCAACACTCCCTCCAGGTCCGTCTTTTGGGGCCATTCAGAGCAAAGGCCACATGCCCCACAAATGTCAACCAACTCATGAGAATGCCTGACAGAGGGCTGTGACACAAGAGCACCCAGTGCCAGCCCCACCACAGGCCATCACCACTTGAAGCTGGGAGGAGGAGATCTCAGGAGCCCTTACAGTGTGAGATGGCACGGAGTGGGGCTTGATGGTGGGGTTGCCCGCAGATGTGACCTTCGTCTGCTTCTGCAGATGGTCCACCCATTCCTGCAGGTCCTGCTGGTTGTTGCAGGACACCAGTATCCGCTCGATCATGCTCCCTGGAAAGGAGGGAAACAGGCTGAAGTGGAAACTCGGGCAGGAAGTACATACACGCACATGCCCAGAACACGACTCAGCAATGCTTAAACGTCACCCTCCAAAATGCATCAGCAAGGTCTGTGCTCAAGAGACAGGCTGCCTCCCTGGCGGGGACAGACAGCACACACACGGCTTGTGCCTATCACCTGATATTTCAAACGCATTCCTATGATTTTCACTGTCCTCAAGCTTTGTGATTGTCATTCCTGTCGTTGGTAGCTTTCCCTAAAAAAGACCCCCCCACAAAAAAATGCAATTAGTGCCTTTCTAGTAAAGAAGTTCTGTTATTAAAATAAATATTAAATGACTTTGGAGGTGGCAATGGTGTCATGCTGCTTGTGACAGTGCATGCATAATATAAAGAAAACTCTCAGGTAAGGAATCAGCCTACAGAACGATGAATGTTCAAAAAGCTAAAGTTCAAAAAACAAAGAAAAATTTCATCTGCTCAATTACTCTAAACAAACACCAGGACATAAAAACGTTACCTACTATAACAAAACTAACGTGTATCACAGCTGTTTCAAAGGACACAGAAGGGAGTAAGCTCAACACATGAAGGCAGAGACAGGGTGGGAGATGGGTCAGGCATACAGGCTGCCTTACCAGTTACAACGTAGTCTGCCCACAGCAAAGGGGCTGTGCTAAAGCACTGCAGGGCAGGCAGCCACCCTGAGGGATCTGAGCAGGGAACGTCAGCTGGAGACACACAATGGGGCCAGGCTGATGCCCATACACAAAGCAGAGCTAGCCCCAAATGTCACCCTCCAAAACAACACAGCAGCAAAGGTCTACACTCAAGGGACAGGCTGCTTCCCTGGAGGGAACAGACAACACTACAGCTTATGCCTATCACATGGTATTCCAAATGCACAGCTTGCCCTGGGCACACAGACCACACAACTGGACTAAGCCTTTAGGGAAGTTGGGGTCATTCTAAGCCAAGCTGCATGGAGTCACTGTAAGCAGAGGAGCGGGACTGCACCAGCACCCAGACACAGAGCTCCCACAACACACAAGGGACGTCCCCAGACATGTGGTAGTACCACAACATGCAGATGCTCCCAACATCAGGTAGGCAGAGGCCAGAGAAGCAATCACATCCTATAGCACAAGGACAGTCCCCCTATCTCGCCTCCCAAGTAAACAATCATCCAACCCAAAGTGTTAGTGATGTGAGGCTGAGGAGCTATGTCCTGAAGCTCAGCAGCCAAGACAGCAGCTGACTGACACCAAGGCCAGGCCCATCCGGAAAACACAAGACATGCTCCTTTCCCAGACCCATTAGGCATAGGACTGCTGACAGCTGTGAAAAATGCTAAGAAATTGAAGCTGCAGATTCATGTTTTGCCTGGCACACCACAGCAGCAGCATGCACCTCAGCCCCAAAGCCAGTGTTCCTGCAGTGGGGGTTCCCTGCACCCGGGACAGGGATGTCCCTGGGAAACTGTCAAAAAGAAGAAGGTGGGACCCTGCTGGTGAGACACCAATGCAACAGCAAGGCAGCCTTGTCAGGGGATAAGGCCCACCCCAAGGCCAGAGCAGCACCAGGCTTCACCCAACTCTGGAATAAGTGCCACACATCCTTGAAGCCCTAGTCCTTACTGGGACAAAACAAAACACACACCAAAGAAATGCCACCCAGAGAAAACAAAGATGTAGCTTCCCTCGCTAGCACATCTTGAAACCGGCCAGTTTCTGGAAACAGAGGTGGAAGTATTAGCTTCCATTGTCACAGAAAGTCATCACTGAAAACTGCCAAGGGTATCTCTCAGATACACAGGAGCTACTTAATACCCCCACTGTAAATCAGAGCAGCAGCAGCAGCAGACAAAAGCCCCGCCCCCTTACATTCCATCTCCAATCAGCTCTCCCATTTTCTCAAACAAAACCAGTGGAACAATTAAGAACAAAGGTCCAATGACAGCACTTGTGCTGATATAGCTGGGGGTGCTGTGCTATGTCTCACAACAGGCCCCAGCCCCAGCCCAGCCTGTGTTCCACAGAGCAGAAAGCAAACCCAGGGAGACGGATGGCACCACAGCCACCAGTGTGCTTCAAGGCCACTCCACCAACACACTTCTTCCTTTCAGTTTGCTCAGAACAAATGCTGGTCTACATCTGAAGAGTCACACTGACACACAGGCAATGGATGCACACAGCACAGCATGCCTAGGACACAGCACATACAGAAACAGGGACTGCTTCATGCTGAAGTTCAGAGCCAGCCTGAAAGGATCCTCAGGTCTACCATAAACAATAAAACAGAATTCCAAACGTGTTTTACCTGATAGATGAAACCACTCATCCTGGGACTGCCAGACAACATTAGCAAAAGGTTTGGGAAGAGCAGAAGGTATCTTTCATTCTTTTCCTAATATAAAAAAACAAACAAATCCAAATAATTTTAAAAACAAATCTATTTACAAATGTGAACACAATACTTTAAGGCCCTAGGAAACACTACACTATATTTCTTGTTTATATATTCCTAACAAAATGCATTAAATAAATGAAATGGAAACAAAATTATGATCAATTCTATGTTAACCCTTAATATATGAGAGAGTTTGAACACACAGGTGAAGACCCTGGATTGCTAAACTATTCAATACAAAAAGAAAATAAACTAATCCTGGGTTCACAACACCTGTGAAGCATCTTTGAAAACTAAATAGTGAAGGAGTTCTGCTCTGCCATTAGCTATTTCTAGTTCATCTACAATTTTCTTTTCATGGTTTAGAGAAAAGAGAATTTATAAAATTTTAGTGGGGCAAGGCAGAACCAGTGGATTCTTTGAGGTTAAGGAAGGATTGGACAAAATGTTAAAACAAATTCTATCATTGTTTCCTCGCATTTTGAGAGCTATATGTGCTTCATCCACTTCATAAACGTTCTCTAGTTACACAAATGACTTAAAATAGTATGACCTGTGCACTAAAAATTCTTTGCTTCAATAAGGTAACCAAGGCCAGGAATCTCAAAGGAAACAGAAATGGAAAGGCCAGATGGCCCCAAGATGTGAGGCCAACACTAGAAAGCAGTTTCCCAGGTGCCTTCTCCAGAACACATGGCCACCCAACACACCTCAAAGCACCTCCAAAGAGAGAGGCTGTGTGTGTAAGACTCCTCTGGAAGCGACCATCACCCTCCCCCCCTGAAGACCCATGGTGCACCTGGGAAGCATCCCTCAGACTGTGGCCCGGATAGCCTAGGTCATTCTTAGAGCAACACTCACCAAGGCTGTGGCCATCTAGTGTACTAAAGAACATGCTCTTAGACGTGCTTCCCCTGGGTATCTTAAATAAAGTTCACTTCATGTGAGTAAAAAGCAAACCACTTCTAGACAGGTCTAGGTGTTTTGATCATTGTGGTAAATAAGGAAATTCATTATGGCACGTGGACTAAAGGATCTTGTCTGCAGGTAAATTTAAAAAGTCAGGTTAAGAAGGGATCAACAGTGCACACCAAATTCAGTTATCTAACCATCACAAGTTTCATGTTTGACAATGGGCATCAGCACGTGTTGCTTATATTTGCAAAGGTAGAATCAAACCATAAGAGACACCTGCTTAGTGACCCAAGAACCTGTAAGTCACCCACCTGCTTCACTTGCACTAAGTGGACACAGCACAAGTATCTGGTTTGATTTCTCACTTAACAAACTCTTAAGAAAATGGTTTTTACTCCCCTAAGTGAACACCAATTAGAACACATTAAGAGAAAAATGTAAGGGCCTAAGCCATCCACAACCACAGATTCCTGAGAGGGAAGCCCCTGGCTGGGCCAGTGCACAGGACCCCAGGGCAGCTGTTTGCACACCCTGGAAACCTGTAGTCCTGCTTCCAGTTCACAGGTCTGGATAAGTGGATCCTGCAGATCTAAACTGGTCAATAGCCCTCTATTATGCCATAAGCCTCTCTTGTTTCTGTTGATATAGAAAGTAGAGCACAATTACAATCTGTTCTGGCTTGACATCTCTTCAAAATGCTCTATCATGTGGGTAGAGGCCACAGTGGTGCCCATGCACTTCAGTACCTCACTTCCTGCACACTGGATCATGACCTGGGACATGTAAATGACATTGCCCAGGGTCTTGATGTCATCTCCCTCCCAGCTTCGGATGGCTTCCGTCAGGATCTGCAACTCAAGCTCTTTCCTTTTTCGTACGTCTTGACACTGGGCCTGCAAGACACAGAACGGCACTGTTCAAAGAGACAGAAGCCTCCAGAATCTTAAGGTTTGGCTATATTACTTCTTGAAACAATTATCGTTTTGTGTCTGACTTCTTTATTTTTTAGTTGTAGATAGACACAATATCTTTATTTATTTTTATGTGGTGCTGAGGATCGAACTCAGTGCCTCACATGTGGAAGGCAAGTGCTCTACCAATAAGCTATGGTCCCATCCCCTGTATCTTACTTCTTAAGAAAGACAAATCTATGGAACAATTTGCTTTACTGTCTGGAATAACAAGTTTTAAAAGTATATAATCAAAAGAAGCAAAGCACACAACTCCTCTGAGTACCAAATACTATTAGGAAAATGGCAGATTTTTGCCACTTTTAGGAAGTAGAAATACAGAGTGGGGGGCTGCAGCTATAGCCCAGTGGTAGAGCACTTGCGTAGAATGTGGGAGGCACTGGGTTCAATCCTCAGCACCACATAAAAATAAATAAAGGCACTGTGCCCATCTACAAAACATATATATATATATATATATATATATATATATATATATATATATATATGCAGTGGACAAGACAAATATTTTTCTTCTGGCTTTATTAGTGTCTGCCAACAAAGAAGACTAATAAGAGGAAAAAGGGTGAGAACAATTTGCACTATATATAAAGGACAACTTAAAACACAGCAGGAACAACATGACAAGAGAAGAGACAGAACCCCAGCACTACACTCCCCAGAACACCACTAAAGAGCCTGTGCATGGAGGTTTGGAAATGCAGCATTAATTATGCTATGCCTCTTCAAAAGGGAGAAATCATCACTTCATCTTTCTGGTGCCCACAATATTCTAATGCAAGAGTATTTCCTAGCCATGGAATGCTGTCTTAGTTCTTAGTTTGTCACAAGCAATGTCTTTGCATCTGACCTTTTCAGCTGCCGATTCTACATTCATTTGCCATCACATGTCTGTGGAAGAAACCATGGTGTGCTTGCCCCCTTATTTCAAGGGTCATTCCACATATATTTTGTGGGTACATTATAATTGTATATAATGGTAGATTCACTGTTAACATATTCGTACATGCAAACGTCACAGAAATATAATCTGGCCAATATCATTCCCTAGTGGTCTCTTTTCCCTCCCTCCCTTCTTGCTCCCAGGTCCCATTCGTCCACTATACTCACCGCAAGGGTTTTGAAGGCAGTCATGGATCTCTGAATGTCTTGTCTATCAGGATGATAATCCTTTAGATAAAGAAACATGCTATTAGCTTTCACAAAAGCTTTTCTTAAAAGGCCTCTCTCTGTAGCTTGGCCTAAAACCTTTCCAAATCTTTGTCCTCGGCAAGCACTTTTCTTCTTAGCATCACAGTGGCAATCCTATTCTTTAAGGGCATCATGGAGTCAGTGGGTTCAGGGGAATAGCCTGAGCAATGGTCAGCAAACACCTTCTGTAAATGCAGCTTTGCTGAACTCGACCACCTCTATTTGCAGGGCATCTCTGATTCTCAGCTGCAGAGTGGCCAAGCCATGCTCAGCAACTGAAGGGGAGGCCTGAGCAGGCCTGATGAACCATCCGGCTACAGACAGGTTGCCTGCCCAAGCCCAGAGAATACCTGAAACCTGAATTTGTCAGGTCTGCAACCTGTTAATCAAAATACCATTTGGAAATGAGTTCACATTTTCTAGTGTTTTTTTTTTAAATTATATATATATATATATATATATATATATATATATATATATATATATATATATATATTTTAGTTGTAAATGGTCACAATACCTTTACTTATTTATTTTATATGGTGCTGAGGATCGAACCCAGTGCCTATCACATGCTAGGCAAGGGCTCCACCACTGAGCTACAAACCCAGCCCCCATTTTCTAGCTTTTGGAAACTGTCCTATCAGCAGTGGTCGATGAGAGAGCAAGAAGGCAAAGCAGCAAATGCTTTCTTACAGAACAAGAATAAGGAGAAAAACTTCATATTTAACAAAGTCATTTTGAAAATCCACTAAGTTACAGATTCTAAACTCTGTGTTGGTCCTGGCTTCTAAAGTGAATCACTAATGATACTGTCCCTGATAGCAGTCTGACCCATGTCATCCCTCCTTGCTCAAGGACTCAGGGTTGGCAGGGAGGCAGCACCTCCATGTGTCTCTCCAGCTCCTTGAGCAGCGTGGGGTATTTGTCCAGGCGCATGAACGGTTTGCTGAGGCCAGTGGTCAGCACCAGGATCCCAGGGCTGCTGGCACCTTTTGTCTCCATGAACTCCCCCAGGTCCTCGCTGGCAACAGGGGCATGGTGGAAAAGAGAAGATGCTTGGGGTTAGGGCCAAAGACAATATGGCAAGGCTTCTGTTAGTGAGGGCCAGTGTTTATGAACGTTGTAGTTTTTACAAACAAACCTGTGCTGTTTATCTCAAGAAACCAAAGGGAACTCCAAAAAGGTTCCTCTCCCACAGAATACATGCAATTCCATTCGCAAAAGGGTCCCCCAGTATGTCACAACATGCAGACCTGTCCAAATGGAAGTTCACGCTCTTAGAGCTGCAATGGATTCCAAGCATCTCAGAGTCAAGATAGCAAGAATTGCCATCAAGCTGCTCAAGGGAAAGACACTCCTGAACCAGGTGAGCTACGCAAGGGCCACCTGCACCTCAAGCGGCCCAGTGCCATGCACCAAATGCCTTTTCATTGCCTTCTGCAGAGGTGCACCTCCCACCTGCGGGCGTGCACCGCAGCTCCACAAAAAAGACCAGGTCCTTGGGCTCTGAAGCAGAAGCAGCACATCACGCTGTCACCACATTTCACCCTCAGCATAGAGGGAGATGGAAAAACCAAGGACATGCCCATAAATTAGAAACCTAAAAGAAGTCTAAAACACCTTCCTATTCTTCTGCCACCGTCCCTTTACTACATTCACCTAACATTTTCTGTGACTAGTTCTCCCAAGCCATTCATGTCTACAGCCACTGTCCCTGCTCCAAGTTCAACAGGAATCAATGAGCAGGCACTGTGGGGACTGTTGGCACCAACACCTATGACTGCTGACACAGAACAGGTGACCTATAAGGTGCCTGCTAGGGCTCAAGGAGGCTATCCCTCACTGTGTATGCATCATCCAGACATCAGGAGCCCCACAGCTGTAGGTGAGAAAGGGAGGCAAGAGTTAAAGGAGACCAGGATGACATATCCCCTCCCTGTCATCGTACCAAGTCCCTAGAGGCTGGGGTGTTACCCCAGCCACCATGTCATGTTCCAGGAGACCAGGGTAACCTCCCACCCAGTCATGCCCAGTCCCAGGAGACAAAGGTAGTACCCACACCTCAGATACCATGTCACATCCTGGGAGACCAGGGTGATGCACAGAACTCCTACACATATACATAAATCACACATTTGACACCAAAATCAAAGCAAACCATAAAAAAGGGAAACTTTACATAATCCCAGTTATAACAAATTAACAGGCATAATGCACATTCCCTCAATTCTATATATAGAAGAGGCTTGGTAATTATTTTACTCCTGTAAGAAAGAGTCTGTCATGATGATACCATTTTAAAAAAATTATCAGCAGAGAAACTATTCAACTACTTCTAGGAGTGTGTGACAAAATTATTCAACTACTTCTAGGAGTATGTGACAAAAAACCTTTTCACAGGCAGCATCTCAACCTCTTTGTGTCTGGTTTTGTGCTCTCTAGACACCATCTTCTCAGGGAAACTGCAGGGCTGGATTAACTGAAAGTTCAGTGAAGTATGCGGGCCCCACTGGACAGCACCACACTGTGCATCCAGAGGCATGCTGCTGCAGAAGCCAGGGCAGCAAGCAAGGCCCTGGGTACACAGCCACAATGCCATGGTAACCAGAGGCCCTCTGCCACCCTGGTGTCAACCTTCCACACTGAGGGCACTGCTGCCAGCAGACCCTCAGGACCAGGGCAAGAATGGAAGCCCAGACACCCAGGAGCACATGCTTTTGCTGGCGTGGTGCACTGCCGAGGCTGTTGCTGCTAGCTGAGCCAGACCCCCACCACTGGTGCTCACCCTTGCAGCCCCCAGAGTCTTACTGAAAAAAGCTGGTCTCCTGAAATCACTCATTCTGCCATTCCCGAAAGCAGGAGTAAAGTGGGAGAAATTTCTATTTTACCAACATTTCTCTAAAATGAACACACACTTAAAGATCAGTCTTTATGATATTAAAACCGTAATTCAATTCCTTTAAACATAATCTATACTGGGTCTTTTCCATCAAGATAGGAAGCAAAAGTCAAATTTCGTATAGTCATGGCAGAAAAATAAACAAAACTGAACAAGTTATGCTCATCACCTCCCTCAAAACTCCCCTGAAACTAAAAACATGAAGTGAAATTTTAACAAGCAAAAGTAGCTTCTTGTAATATCCACACAACGTTCTTATGATTCCAGAACATGTGTACACATCCCCCAAAGGAAAGAAAACAGTATAAGCCTTCATGGATCACGCTCCGTTCTATAGGGTTTTTAGTACTATAACAAAGTAGGTGGTTACAGCTATGGGATAAAACAACAGCTCTTTCAGCACCATTCCTACTGCTGCCAGCAGCCACAGTCTCCCTCCTCTGCACCTACTGGAATGACACCATGGCAACAAGGGAACAAGGTAAAAAGAACTATGTGGCCAAGCAAAGAGGAGCAAACAGCTGAGGGGAAAGCCTTTTGTTTTACAGACCCATTTATGAAGATAAGCATCTGCAGTCCCATGGTAATGGGAAGGCATTGGAGCTCTGCAGAACTGGAAACAGCATGCGTTTGCCAGAAAAACAACCCAAAGACTGGGAGCTGTGGGTGCAACTGTCTGCAGGGGCGGGTGGGGGGTGGAAGCAGGTTCCCACACGTGCTGCAACCCGTGCACAGGTAAGACTGTCAGCTTCTATGCACTACACTCACACCAGTCCTCAAAACCTAGGCTCAAGCCTAAGACCAGATGGGAAACCCCGCGGTGTGGTAGCTCACAGGCACTCACACTGAAGGACAGACGGAAGAGCTGCCCATTCAGACTCTGAGCATAACAACAGGAGTGCTGAAAGCAGCTGTCAGGCGTGAGCACTCACCACCTCAACGGACGCAAGTGCACTTTGGAGCAGGGCATAATCTATGGCAGACAAAGGGGGAACTTTCTGGGCTCAGGGGAGGCAGGAAGGAACATGGGCACTGTGCACTGCTGTGGCTGCCAGCACCTGCTGGCTCTGAGGGACTCTCCTCTCTGGCTTAGCCCCTGGGAGCCACCTGCTGCAGGGCTGCCGTCCAGCACGCGACCCTAGACTCCCACTCCATGCTCGGCATGCCAGCCACATGCAGCAGGTCAGGAGGCTCTTGCTCACAACCTTATCTGTACTCCTTCCTCTAAGTACATTCTGAAAAATGCTGTGTTCGCCTTTCAGACACAACAGAGTCACTGAGGTAACAGCACACAAGAGGGTAGACACAGCACTCCCGTGAGCACTTCTCCGGAAAGGGTTACACTTCAAGATACCCCAAGTCTCAGCTGCTCCACACACCCTTGTTTCTACAGGAAAAACCCTTACAAGTCTTTGCCAGGACGGTGCACCCGCCCCTTTCTAAGCTCTCAACCTTCTCTACAGGAGAGCCTCTCTCCAAAGAAGAGGCCGGGGGATACACAGAAAAGATCTTAGAATTTTCTGTAACAAATCCACTTGCTTTTTGTGGACCTCTTCCCATCACTGCATCAATAACTTCTGAAGCATTTTCATTCATACAAACCTAATACTTGCTTTTCACTTTTATGGAAATTTCATTTAATTTGTAATTTCCTGAAGTTGATGGTACAGCACGTATTTGAATACACACTTTGCACATTTAGGACAGTGCGTGGCTAACATGGCCTCTGCCCACGGCAAGGATGGGTCTCTCAGCTCTCCCTTTCCCACAGCTGCTGAGCATTCGAGCCCCTCGCCCCCTTCCTCACACTGTCAAAGGCTGCTGCTTCACTTCAGGACAACACCAATGGGAATCTGAACAACTAATCCTTTTGCATTGAGCACAGGTGTCCCAGATCACTTTACTTCTTTTAGCGGACAACAAAACAATGTGCCTTTATCACGTTCGCTCCAATCTGACCAGTCTGTACATACAGACCATCTCAAAGCTGACTACAGCCCTGGGAGCAGGATTTCCAGTAAAGGGAGCTAAAGTCCAGAGACACAGGCCCTGGGCCTGCAGGCAGCAGCAGGCGGTTCCCACGGGACTCTCCAGACACTGCAGCCTCCACAGCAAGCCGAGCAGACAAGCAAGGCCAACACATCAAAGCTGCTTGCTGTGTTTTAAAAGGAAATGTTAAGAATAAGCCGAGGTTAAATTTGGAAATTAGAAGCACAATGGCATTTCTCTTGATGCTACTGAATTTTTCTTTTCCAATTACAGTTTTGAAAAACTTCTGAATTGCCAATTTTGAAAGAAACCATGAAATCACCTCTAAAACATTAATAAAAATACTGTGCTTCTCTGAGAAATAGAAACCAAATCTCTGCCCTCCGGTCAACCACATGGTCATCCAGCACAAAGCCATCACTAGCGCTCAGCAGTCACTGGAGCCGGGTTGCTCCTCAGTCATTGGGACAGCTACCCGGCTTCCTCTACCCAGTAACAGGAAACAGACATGCCTCATCCTTTTGAGAAAATTTACATGTTCTGTTTTACATGTTTTAATGTTGCTACAGTCTGAAAGGCTCAAGGTAAAGGTCTCTAATGCACTGCTCTATCTGCGCAATCAAGTCCTCGTTTGAAATGGGACTCTCCTCATACAGCCTCCATCCTTCAGCTTTGCAACCCAGGAGCACTCAGAGTCCCTCAGCCTTGACTTGGCTGATGGACAAAGCCCCAGTGCTTCCCAGCTCCTCCAACCCACCACCCAAATGGGTTAGGCTGAAGGGTGACTTCAAAAAGACCCTCTTCTTTTACAAACACCAAGTACCATTTTAAAGTTTCTCGAGCACTCATTTTGAGAAGCAATTAAAATGAAATCACCCTGCGCATCACAGTCTATCTGGGAGCACAGAGCTGCTGGTCTTCCTTTTGCTCTGACATCTCAGTGAACAGACCTGTGCTCTGTAAGGACGCTCACAGCAGATGGGTGGTTGGCACAGTAGGCAAGGTACAGGGTCCTCATTTGTGGCATCAGGTTCAGAAAGCAGCCACCAACTCTCTGCTGGGCCTCGGGTGACCTGGAGACACAGAAGGAGACAGCGTCAGTGCTACAGACAGGAAAGGGGTTGAGTGACAGGTGACCCATGGGTTTAGGCAGGATCACAAATCCCAGACCCATCTGTTCCTACCTCCAACTGAGCAAGCAGGAGGGTCTGCCACAAAAAAAAAAAAAACTCCACTCTCAGGCTCCCTCCTACAGCTCTAGACTGTCAGGCTGGCACACCAGACAAAGCCCAAGTTCTTCAGGCAGTGGGAAAATTTGGTATCACAAAGCCTTTAATTTTGCATAAAAAGAGGAGAGTTACCAAATGTGGTTATCTGTTTGTAAAGTTTCCTAGGAAGCACCATGAAGGCTGGCACAAGAAAAAGCCCAAAAGGCACCTTTCACTTCAGGCTGCAGAGACTGAAGACAGATACACCTGTTAGTGCCCCTCCTTCCCAATCAAGGCCACGCATAGTGACAGCTCATGGCTAAAGGCAGAAACTTGCTAGAACCTGCTGTGGAAGCAGAGACGCAGTGAGCAGTGCAATGCTGAGCAGACCCAACAAGCTGAACCCCACCTGTCTATCCAGACCTTAGGGTGCTTCTGCAAGCAGGACACCACATGCCCTCCCTGCACCCTAAACAGTCTCTGCCCACCAGCACAATGACAAGAAGGATCATATCCTGCTCTCTGAGGACTCCAGCCAGAAAAAGTGACCCAAAGATATCAATGCTAGGGACTCCTCAACACCATGAGAATCAGCTAGGCTGGACCAGTGTCAGTCCCTCCCCCTGTGTTCTTAGCATGTGTGCCTTAGTTACAAGGGGCACTTAGCATGCATGCCTTAACCATAAGAAGACATGCAACAACCAACAAGAGATTTTGGGAAAATAAAAAAAAGAGAGAGAAAAAAAAATGAGAATAATAAAAACAAAAAAGAAGTGACAGTTACTCTCCAGAGAGCAGAAAAGTCTTTGAAAGATGTCTAATTAATTCAGAAATAAAAATAACAAAAAAAAGATACTGCAACCATGAAAAAAAGGAAAGGATTCTATTAAGAACATTCAAAACAAAAATTAAAAAGCAATCTAGCAATAAAATATTGACAGGAGAATTGAAAAAGTCAGCAGGAAATTGGAAAGTGAAATTCTAAAAATCTTCCAGATTAGTAGGAAAGGCAAAGAAAATTAGAAGACCAGAGTAAGCCTTGACACATCAGGATAAAAGTTCCAGACATGGAAACAAAGACAGGTAAGCACAAATGAATCAAGAAATCTTCAAAACAGCAGAAAAGTTAAAAGACACATGCTGCATGCCAACTGGAGAAAATCATGGAATCAGGGAGAACAGAGTCAGACGGAAAGTGCCCCAAGTGTTGCATGGTGGGTGAAAACAGACCCAAGAGAAACACAAACACCCCAAATCAGGACCCTAGAAACACAGCTACTAAAAGCTCCAAGAGAGAAACACAGGTTCTCACAAAGATTGGAGTCAGAGTTGTTGGAGGTTCCCACCATCAGAGCCCCAAAACCAGTGCCAACAACAGTAACAGTGGGTACAATCCTGGGTCCACAATCCAGTGTCATCTATTAAGCAGGAGGCTGGGCTGACCACCCATCTAGAGGATGCACACCACTAAAACCAGGAATCAGGAAAACAGAGTAAAACAGTAGGGGCTGTGTGTGTGCCCCAGGATGAGGTCCAGCCTACTTGGGCAGGGAATGCAACTTCTGTTCCACTACCCCCTCAGTAAACGCTGTCTCAGTCCATACCTGCTGCCATAACAAAAGGCCTTGGAAATGTGTGATTTTATAAATAAGGACCCACCTCTCAAAATGTCAAGGTGTTGGCAGATCCGGTGTGTGGGAAGGGCCTCTATGTCTACTTCTAAGGTGGTGCCTCATGGCTGCATCCTCACACAGCCCAAGAGGGAATGGCTCTTGAGCCCCTCCTTTATGAGGGTGACAATGCCATCCATGAGGCTCTACCCTCAGGACCTAATCCCCTCCAAAAGGCCCCACCTCCTAAGATCATCTGGTGGAGGATTAAGTCTCAACAGATGAGACTGGGGGACACATCTAGACCACAGCACACTGAGCTTTTTAACTATGCTGCTACCTTGCAGCCAGGACCCAGAACAGCGTCTGCTAGCCTCTGACCCCTTCAAGTCTCTAGACAAGTCTCCTCTGGTTTCCACACCCCAGCAGTGGTCCTCTACCCAAGGCTGCAAAGTACCAACTGGAGAAAGTCATGTAATCAGGGAGAACAGAGTCAGGAGTATTAGGAAAAGTCTTTCCTTCAAAGCACAAAGCACTCAAAATCACATTGCCTTTGTTTTCTCCATTGTTCCATAACCTTCACTCATCCCTGTTGTTTACAGGCTCAAAGGCTGTTCCTGACCTACTTAAGCCTGCCCTAGGATGGCTGTGGGAAAGACAGGGAAGTAGCACTGCAAGCCCCCAGCACCTCTCTCCTGGCTCCCGCCACTAGCCTTCCCTTCTACTTCAGGAAGTATGTGGTTTCAAAACACACGGCAGAAAAGAGATACTGGTGTTGGACACTGATCGCTGCTTGCTGCTTCTCGCAGAAAAGAGATATTGGTGTTGGACACTGATCACTGCTTGCTGCTTCTCGCAGAAAAGAGATACTGGTGTTGGACACTGATCACTGCTTGCTGCTTCTCAAGTGGAAACAATTCACAGATGTAAATACGAAGTTGACAAAAAGCAGAAAACAAAAAGACCTGGGGAGCGTTAAACAGCTGTCCATGTAAAAAGCACCTCTCAGCCAGTGCCTGACTGAGAGGAAGTGCCTTCAGTACGCTGTGCCTTAATGGTTCTGCTCTAGAAGAGACAGGTGTCCACTGTGAGTATTTCAAATTCTCATCTTTTTCTTCTCATGGAGTTCTCTTTTAATTGTGTATATGAGCAAACAGGTCCCTACCCAGAGCAGCAAAAGAAAGCTCCCAGGAGCACAGGAAGTGCCTTCGGGAAGTAGCAAGTTCAGTACCATCTGCAATAGCAACGCCATGCCTTTAGGGGAGGCTGAGATGAACAGATCCACACACAGAGGGAGGTCTGCCCTCCAGCTTCCTCCAATGTGCTTCTTTGCCTTCCAATTCACTAGCCAAAGAGGGCTACATGAAATCAACTGAAATTAAATAAAAGGAGAACTCCAGCTTCCCGGCTGTAGCAGCCAGCAGCCACTACACCAGGAAACACCTGCAGGGAACATGCATCCTAGCTCACCAGACCACATTTCCAAACCCTGAGTGGGCCACACATTTAGAATGGGTTTTACGTTTTGATATAGTCACCCTTAACTGAAGTCAAAGTGTTTCCAAGTGTGAGCCACTCAAAGGGGTTCTGACAGCCTCTCAGGACTTGCCACAGCTCCTTCTGCCTGCAGGGCAGAATTGCCACAGCAAAGTAGCTTCAATTACTCATTCAGCCCCATTACCCAGCACTGGGGAGAACAAAGCAGAGTAAGAGTAGTCTCTTGCCTTAGAAAACGAGCGCCATCTTTCTGGAAAATACAAAACAAGTGCACCAGTGAACTGGACAGGAGACAGGGCACGAGGAACGGGTATAGCCTACAGAGGAAAAGTGTCCACTGGGAGCATGCGGGCAGAGTCAGGGGCTCCACACCCAACAGAGGCACACGCACAAGGACAAACCAGGGCCACCTGCCCTAAAGATCCACACACACAGACACATGTGTTTTGAGAACAGTAGGTCCTGCCATCTGGCAGGTGAAAGGCATACTCAGACAGGTGAAACACCAAGAAAAGGGTGGCTTCCAGGATGAGAGAGGACCCCAAGAGGCTTAGCCAAGTGGACTGAAGACTACTGCATAAAGACGGGGCACCAAGGGGCTGAGCATATAGCTCAGTTGGTAGAGTGCTTGCTTTGCATGCACAAGGCCCTGGGTTCGATCCCCAGCACCACCAAAAAAAAAAAAGAGAGAGAGAGAGAGAGAGAGAGAGATGGGGTGCCAAAGTTATAAGAACAATGGCCAGAGATGTGGCACAGGGACAATATTAGAGACAGATAATCTCACGTGGGTTAAATTACTACAATTGTGTACACATTGCCCAGTACAGGCATATACTGTTAGGATTTCATCTCCCACCTGGTTCAATGCCACAGCTCTGGATCCACTCAAAGAAGACTACACCCGGGGCTGGGGTTGTGGCTCAGTGGTGGAGCACTCACCTAGCACATGAGAGGCCCTGGGTTTGATCCTCAGCACCACATAAAAATAAATAAAATAAAGGTATTGTTTCCAACTACAACTAAAAAATAAATATTAAAAAAAAGAAGACCACACCCAAAGTCTAGATCAATTGATTTCATGTCTCAAATTTGTCAACTGATGAAAATCAAAGAGTAAGTATCAGGCATAAAGGAACAATAACCAGTGACTTTTTGTCTTCTGCTACACTGAATCTAAACTAGAGTTCTGTTACCTCTTAGGTATGAACTAGCTCTTAAGAATACAGAACCAGCACTGGATTACTAGACAGCTTCATAATGACTTACTCATCTGGTAAGGGACTCATGGGACAACCAACCAGCTCATAGATGTGAGCACAGAATGTGACTTGAGAACTGAAACAGAGAATCTTCTTCTGGTTCTCTCTCGTGCTTCTCAGGGTGTGAGAGCAGGTAGGTGGAGCACAGCTCGTGGGTAGCTACATAGAAAAGCACCCTGTTAGCTCCTCCCACCTGTAGCCTCCAGTCAAGCCAATGCCATAGTAAAAAGCACGTGTGTGTGTCACCACACAGCCAGAAGACCATGGCAGCCACACACAATGTCTACCCCCATGCCGTACAGCATAGAGTCAGCAGGAGGTTAAAGAGGATGTCCATAGAGGCTTTCTCAGGTATTTTGCTGGGACCTGGCCATTTTTTAAAAAAATGGTATGTTTTCATAGCTTTAATTTTCAAAAAAAATGGCCAGGTCCTAGCAAAATACCTGAGAAACCAGAGAACTTCTATTTCTGCTCCTACAATACCTACTCCTATTGGTCCTGCTCATCAGAGAGAGGAAAGGACTCAGTTTACTAACTGTTCATTGCAGATGAGGCTGAGATCAACAGGAAGATGAAACGAGGATCTGAGTAGACCTCAGTTGTGTCCCTGTTCTCAGTGAACCCAGCACAGTCCGTCCATGTCACACAGACACCTTCAGAGATGAGACTTCACAAGCAGTTTCATATATATATATACATACACATACACAGAGAGAGAGAGACAGACAGACAGACAGAGAGCGCGCCACAGTTAAGTCGGGCCACCAAATGCTGCAGCCTGGCTGGGCACAAAATAACCGAGCCGCCACAAAGTCTTGTAGGTTCAAACAGCAACTCTTTATTCCCGAACTCTCACCAGCACTCCACACACACTTCCCGGGAACACACTCCCTCCACCAGGCCCCGGGAGAACTCAAAGGGAACTCCAAAGTAGTTGCGCCCAAGGCAGCAGGATCTACCCTAATCCCCGGAGCCGCCCTATTCCTGGAGCAGGGTCACCTTTCAACCATTCCCTCTGGCAAAATGCCAGGCGTCATTCCAACTTAACTGTAGCTCTCTCTCTCTCTCTATATATATATATATATATAAATATAAATATATATATATATATATATATATATTTTAATTGTTGCTAGACCTTTATTTATTTATAGGTGGTGCTGGGGATGGAACCCAGTGTCTCGTGCATGCCAGACAAGTGTACTACCGCTAAGCCCGAGCCCCAGCCCCAGTATCCTAGTCTTACTCACAGTGGGGCCACAAGTGCCAACACCATAATGGTCACAGGCCTGGCAATCTCTTGGCAAGTCTGCTCTTGCTGGCCCCAAAACCAAAATGAAAGAATATAATCCCATTTGTCCCAATTGTGGCCCCCAGGACCAGCATCACAATGGCCTCATTTTTGATACTTCTTTGAAGGATGTGTCTCCCTGATGTCCTTCATTAATAGTGGCATTATGTAAACTGTTTCTAGATGGCCAGAGCTTATTCTCTCTTCTGGTAGGACCATTCACAAGCCTCTAAAACTTCATGATGAAACAGTGTCCCATACATGACAATGTGACACAAAGCAGAAGAGAGGAAGTTATGAGACACTGTAATCACGCAGGGTTGTGAGAAGCCAGCTGTGGCCCTGAAGGTCACCAGAACAGGGTGAGGGCAGGAGAGCAGAAAATGAGAGAATGGGGGGCAAGGGAGAGAGCAGGGTTGCCAGCAAACCCTGCACCCCCACTGACTGCCAGCCTATATGTTGGCATCTATACTTAACAAAAAGCTAGAGAGCTGGTATGTCTTCACAGCTTTAAGTATTAGAAGAGCATTGCAATCAATACCAAAATAAACACAAGTAAAGCATGGAATGACAGCAAGAACATTCCACAAAGAGAACAACCTGGAGATTCTGCTTTCAGCAGAACTTAACCTGCTTTACACAATAATACACAAGCAAGTCCCCCACTTAAAAATGGGTTTTACTGAAAAGCCTTGCTTTAGAGGCTCTGCCCTAAAGTCCCACAATCCTCCAGAACTCATTTTAAAGCCACAGCTACATACCCCTGACTAGTGAGAATGGTATCAAAAGAAAAGCTCTTTAAATCACAGTCTAATGTGCCTCCAATAAAGCAAGTGTAAAGAACTCTCCATCACCTAAAGTGATATTTTAAAGGAAAACTGCATTCCCAACACTATACTCAGAGAGCATATGCTGCTTCAGCTCTCCCTACAAATTGCCCACCGAAATGAGGCTGAGCACGTTCCCACTGTGAGCAGACAGCCTGGGCTCTAGGCCTGGCTGGGCCTGCGGCTTTCCTCTGAGCAGCAAGAAGAGTCCACTCCAGGTCAGTAGAGGGCAGGGGTGAGCAGCAGATGGGTAGAGCCCACTGGCAACAATGTTGCTAACTACAAGATTCAAAACCATACTTCAAGACTCATAGTAGGAGGGGCTTCTCAGAATCAGTTCATCCTTCACATTAAGCAAAGGGGAGACCACTTGGGCTCCAAATCAGAGTCCACCATTCCCATGGCCCGGGGCCAATCACCCTGCCCCTTGGGTATACAGACCTTCCTACCTTTACAAAGCTCCCCATGGGGTCTTCTACAGGGTCACATAAATTAATACGTAGAGAGCAAAGTCAGTGCCTGGGACACATTAAGAAGATGTTCATAAATGGTGGGCCTACATAAAAAGTTCACCTTAGGGGGCTATTTGCCACTTACAAAAATGAAATAAACTCTAAAAAAACACCTGACAGCAGGTTGTACACATATGGTACTTTACATCCACCAGCTTCTTAAAGGAACAAGTCACAATTACAAGACCGTACTGGAAAACGCCTGCCTTCTCGATCCCCCTCTGCAGCTCATGGTGGCGTATGTGGAGCCGAGCCACCTGTGGCCTCCTGGCCAACCCCCATCCCAGTTCCTCTGCAGCCTCTTCCTCGTAACCCTCCCTCCCCTTAAAAAAAAAAAAAAAAAAAAAAATCAACCTTGTCAAGACTTTCCCCTTTCAAGATCTCTACTAAGAAAAAAAAAAAAAAAAACAACCTTGTCAAGACTTTCCCCTTTCAAGATCTCTATTAAGGAAAAAAAAAAAAAAAAAAATCAACCTTGTCAAGACTTTCCCCTTTCTTTCAAGATCTCTACTATAAAAACTAGATCATCTAAAATACGCTATAACTATAAAGGTAGATCTACCCAAAGGATATAAAACAAGCAGTTTGCATCTTCAGAAATGTGAATTCTAAAATGATGTTAAACTTGATCCATTTGGTTCCAATAATACCAATCTGAATTTTGTAAACTTCAGCATCTTACTTACTTGGTGCATTCTTCTAAAGACTGTACAAGCATTTGCTGGAAAGAACATATCTCCTCTAGATTTCCCATTAAATATGAAGTATTTGCTGAACTTAACCTAGAGCAAAGAAAAATAACAGTAAAAATTAGTCAACAGTTTGGCTTGCATTCCCCCAATTCCCAGCCCAGGTCCTGTTGCAGTCTTAACCTAGCAGATACACTGCTGTGTCTGAGGCAGGCTCCTCTGCTGAGTTCCACTCCATCATTTCAACCTCTACTTCCCAAAAATAAGAGTTTAAGAGAAGAGCCTAAGGTAAGGACCAACAGTGCATGCAACTGTCATCTAACTTACTTCTCACTGGTCTGCAATGGCCGTAGGTAAGTTGAAAGCACGGTTTGAAGTTCTTTAGAATATTCATTTTCTGTTTCTAAAATATTCTGTAGCACCTACAATAAATGATGAATAAGCATTATTTGACACTAAGATTTGTAAACTTTAGGACATTCATAACCATTGTTCAATTTACATATGGCTTCTAGGTAATACTAATGTGCTGGATGTAATTATTCCTTGGATTAACTTCTATCCCCATGTCATAAATTATTACTAAGGTCACCCATCAGATTTCATCTTCCTGTCAACCACACTTGGCACAGATATGCATAGAATGAACTTGAATGAATTCCATCATCAAATAAGCAGGGCCACATCTATTTAGATGAAAAGGATGGTCCTCAGAGGAATGCACAGATGACCGTCCACACACAGGGCTATGCAGGAGAAGCTATTACATCCCCATCTACACTAAGTCCACAAGCAGGCACAACTTATCTATGGTGACAGAAATCAAAATGGGGTGGAAGATGGGTGGGGAAGGGAAAAGGGACACGGGATAAATTTCTGGATGATTTGTTCTGTATTTTGATTTGGGTAGTGGTTACACAGATAAATGCATTTGTCAAAGCTGCACCTTTAAAATCTATGCATTTTAATATACAGGGTAAGCATAATTCAAAAACCAAAGAGCTCCATACTCTAAAACTTTGTTAGCACAGACATGATGTTTGAAAAGTTTCAGATCTTGAAAAGTTTTAAATTTTTGGAACATTTTAGGTTTCAATAAATAATGCTAGTAAAATCTATGCAAATATCTAAAATACAAAATCTCCAAACTCAAACAGTTCATGTCTCAAGCCTTTTGGTAAGAGACACTTATAAGTGAAAAGTATCCCAACTAAATGGAAGACACTTAGATCTGAAAAACTGAAATCAACTCCTGCGAACTAAAGACTTTGATTAGAGAATGTGGTAAAGTCTTGTATCATCCTACATACCACATCTACTAAAAATTAAAGGTCTGCCCAAGTAAACAATCTTTAAATAGCTACTACTTTGTTTAAAGACAGCATACTAAAGTAACTTTAAATAATAGCACAACTTAAAAGGTCTATGCTATTTAACCTTAAATAATAATAAATTTATTTAACCTTAAATAATAAACTAACCTTAAAATTAAATGTGTGTGTGTGTAGCAAATTCAGCCAAATTTAGTTAATCCCTAAAACCTGGCAGATGAAGTGCAAAAGAGTTGAAGCAGAGCAACGGTCCCCAACAGCCATCACCCACAGCAAAGGTGCCCCCCTGGGAACTCCAGGAGGCAGCAGGGTGACCCACAGCCCAGGGAATGCCACTGATCATGGGATTCTGATAGACTGGGTTCTCCAAGCAGTGACACTCCGTACATGCCTAGCACCAAGCATATGGTATCTGTGATCCTTGCAAAAACACATTTCCTTCTAAGAAGCTAACTTGTCCTACCCACATAAGACAGCTGGTGAGCAGCAGAGCCAAAAAGTGACCTGGCATCCTTCTGCCACTGCCTGCGATACAGGGCCGCTCCGGGCACCTGAGGGAAGGAGGATAGGAGTCAGAGTCCCTTCCCTGACTGAACCTTTTTATCCCTCTCTACTAGAAAGTCAGTATTGTTTTAACCAGAAAATCATAGTACATGCATTTTCTCCTTGTGCTATGTGCCTCTCAAAACCAACAGACCTTTCCAAATCCATCACACAAATGAGAGCGTACAGGAGTAATTGAGATACTGAGCACTTGGTTATCTTCTGATAACCTAATGTAGGTTGAGACATTAAGTCAGAAGAGTTAAATTCAAACCTCAGTCTTAACACACATGACCTGGGTCATTCTTCTGTCTACTGCTGCTCCTGAGACTGCGATGAGAGCACGGTCCCCACAAGAAAATGCAGACCTCAGTGAACAACGTACACACCAAGCCAGCCAACAGGGCAACGTCTGAGGCTGCCAGACTGCCCATCAAAACACTGTTCTGGTGCCTGTGAGGACAGCTGGTGGGGGTGGAGTCAAAGGGGAATGAGACTCAGAACCTGATCAGAGACTATCGGAAAAGTGAGTCAAGCACAATCGTCCTTAAACAGAAATGAAAACAAAATCTGTTACGCATTATGAGAAGTCCTTTTTCAACTTAAAAGCAGAGGTCAGAAGGATGAGGCAGCTTCCTAGTTACAAACACTGGAGACCACTTGGCCACACTACTCAGTGCATGCTTGAAAACACAAAATTGTTTTCAGTCAGAAAAATTCTCCTACGCAATATAAAGAGAACATCCACTAAAAAATTCCCCTAGTAGAGATAGGAGTAAAATAAAATGACACTTCCTCAATCACAGCACTGAAGCACAGCACACAGGGACAAAAGCTGCTCAGGAAAAGGCACCAAAATGACTGCAAAGACACTCACCCAAAAGCTGGATTCTCTAAGACAGTTACAGGGGCACGGGCCCTGAGTGGTCAGGCACAGAGAATCGTACAGTCCCGCAGGTGCCAGAGAGCAGTGGCCTCAGCAGACACCCACATCCCCACACTGTCAACCTCAAAGCAAATCAGAGTGCAAAGGACTGGCTCCTGTGCCTCATAGACACACAGAAACTCACCTTATCAGCAATGCCACTGAAGCAGCGAATGAGCTACAACTATGACCACAAGTCTCAGTAGTGTTGCATGTTCTATGTGTCATTAACAGTTCTTAAAAATAAATTAATGATTTACATATAAGAAACAACATTAGGCAATTGTTTTAGGTTCCATACAGATAAAACATTACCATCATCTTAAACTAAAGCCAAATGCCCATAAAATAATCTTAATTATAAACACACAAAAAATTAAAATCGTACAACTATTCCAAACCCTGTTCTGCTCTACTCAACCAGCCCCTGCCTGCAGCCATCACAAAGAATGAAAAAAGTCACTTAAGTGACACCTTTCAGTCCAGTCTATTTAAATTCTCAAAAGGTTACAATGAGGAAGGCAGGGAGCTCACTGGCTCCATAATCTATGGGTTCCAAGGAAACACAGAGTAACCCCCATTACTGATATAAGGTAGTTTGCTAACCTCTATTTGTCCTTAAAAACAACTCCATACTTAATACCTGTTACTAATATGGAGTCTCAAAAAGATGTGGAGGGAGCACGAGAGCATCTCTGCTTTTTTAGTGTACCCTTTAGAAGAACTGTGTTATATGATATTTGTAAGCTTGGGAGTTCACAGGGTCTTGGGGTAGACTTCTTCCAAGTATTAAAGGTTTATCAAACAACAGCTACTACAAAAGCCTGTGGGTCCACCATGATGCACAACGCCACAGCAGGCAGCGCACACCAACACTGCAGGGCGGGGAGTTGGGTCAGCCTGTTTCTTCTATAAAAAAGGATTTAAAGGATTTATACTTAACCAAGAGCATCTGTCACTGACTTAAGGTAGGAAGAAATCTTACCAACCCACCCGGACACCTCCTAACTCAAGCTGGGAACCCTGCTCAGAGCCTCTTCCTGAGGGACCCGTCTAAGAGGGGGTTCTCTGTTTCACAAGACAGCCTTTTCCTCCACCAAGCATTTCTTCATTCACCAAGAGTATTCAGCTGATTCTATCAGGCCCCCATCAGGTCCCCACCACCACCAGAAACTGCAATGCATGCCATCTCAGTCTACATAAAACAAGGCAGTTTCATGAGAACTAAAAGAGCCAAGTCTGCCAGGGAAGACTGCAAGCACCCAGTTCCCACAGAAAACGTGGTGAGATACACAAGGGAGCTACTTCCCAGGAAAGCCACAGAGAATCAAGCTGCATGCCTGTAGAACTCCTGGACATGGCGGATAATTAGCCTCAGCAGGACTGAGAAGAAAAGCCAAGTAGAAAGTAAAACATGAAGCTGAACCAGGACCTAGAACTAGTGATGGTGGGTTAAACCAAAGACATCCTATTACTAGAGTCTCAGTTTTCCTGCTGGCTTGTCATCCAAAGGCTACCAGCAACCTCCCAGACCCCAAGAGAAACAGACAGGCAGAACACTCCTCTGGGGCACAGGAGAAGGTGAGGAGGCAAGCAGTGGTCTTTGTCAGAGAAATGCATCTGCTCTATGTACCTGTAGATTAAACTAGTGGGTCATAGCCTATGCTTCGCATGTGCAGCATTCCAAAGGCAAAAGCCACTCTGCCTTTCCATGACATCAGACATGAGTGCACAGCTGCTAAATAAAACACGACATCACTAGGCACAGGACACAGACCTGTCTTCCCAGGTCAGCAGACAAAATAAGAAACTCGTTCATCAGGCTGGGGTTGTGGCTCGGTGGTAGAGCGTTCACCTAGCATATGTGAGGCCCCAGGTTTGATCCTCAGCACCACATAAAGATAAATAAATAAAGGTATCGTGACCACTTACAACGAAAAAATATTAAAAAGAGAAACAAACAAATTCGTTCGTCAATAAGGACATGCTCATGGCCAACAGGAGGTGACATATGCCTGTCCCACTCTCCAGGATGGGGCATTCAGGTCCTTCTGGGATCACCAAGGGGAAGCTGCCTATCATCACACTGGGGTGCAGTAATGAGCTTTCACTATCAGAACCATCAAGTTCAGGCAATTACAGGAGCAGATCACCCCGGCAACAGGTCTCACCTCACCGATCATCCTAAGAAGAAACTGGGATACCTTCCCACAAATGGAATGTAATCCCAACTAATATATGTCCCCAGAGCTTCTAAGTGCTCTTCCTAGCACATGCAAACTCTGGGGGTCGGGCACTTTGCTGGGTACTCAAGGCCAATCACTGATCCTCCTCATGCTACAAGGCTAGGGCCAGCATAACCAGCCACCTCATTTCACAAACCACTATCTGCTCAGGCAGTGGGAGGCTACCCCCAGGCCACTCCAATGCTAAGTGGCAAAGACAACAGACCCAAGACCTGAACTCCTTACCCTGTATCATACTATGGGGCACAAGCTAAAAGCAAAAGGCAGGGAAGCCCATACACTTTCAGGTCACAAATTTTTTTTTTTTTGGATATCTGGGATTGAACTCAGGGGCACTCGACCACTGAGCCACCTCCCCAGCCCTATGCTGTATTTTATTTACAAACAGGATCTCACTGAGTTTCTTAGCTCCTAGCTTTTGCTGAGGCTGGCTCTGAACTCTCGATCCTCCTGTCTCAGCCTCCAGAGCCACTGGGAGCAAATGTTTTGAGAAGAGTCTAACATTCTTAAAACTGGCAGCACTCGGATATCAGGGTCAAATTCATGAGATGGAGATTGGTAGAAAGAAGGAAAATGAGATGTAGAGGCTGAGACTCAAAGAACAATCTTGTAGGGGGAGAAAGACCTGACTCACAAAAAAAGAAAAAAGAGAAAGTCTACTGATTAGCAAAGGGACATGATGTACAGAGAGGCCTTCTAGCCAGAAGAGGTGAAGAACTGACTTTATAAAGAGGAGGAGCCCTAAGAAAGAGGCGGAAGGTGAGAGGAAACAGTGCATCCAGCACTAGAACAGCACCTGGGCCCATGCCTTTGACAGTGCTTGGGCATCATGAGCACCACAGAATTATCTGTTGAACACAGTAAATTTTCCCCACAGCCAACTTGCTGTATAATAAGATATGGCAGCAGCCAGGGATGAATGCTGAGGAGAGCACCGAGTGTGCAGGACCCAGTACAGGACTGGTGGAGTCAATGCAGCAGAATCCACTCAAGTCCAAATGTGACCATTCACCATTTCTTAATTCAGGGATAGAAAACAATCATGATAAAAGGGATGCTGCAAAGACACTAATCAGCTGCTACCATACCATAAAAATACAAAGCCCTCATGAGTCCGTGTGTGTGTGTTGGGGGGGGGGGAGGTTAAACAAAATAAATGCACATTTTCCATAGAATTCAAAATACATGTATGTTTAGAAAGTTTACTTTGCTGCTATCATCCCAGCAATTTAATAGTTTTATCGAATAAAAACCCTACTCCTAGCATATGCAGTTGTTTGGGGACAAAGGGGGACTATGTGATACAGGTGAACACAATAGACATATTATCGTTATCATATTATTTCAAAATACAGCAAATTTCTAGATCCAGAAACACTTGTCTTTAACATGCATGAAGTCTAGACACACCTCTAATTCCATACCATTTGAAACACAGACAGCGGGGCCCTAGAGAAAAGCTACATAGAAAATACAAAATAAACTAGAAACTACATTGATCTTTAAAGTACTTATATGCCAATCCAAATTCAAATAGAATGCAACTTAGTGCATAAAACAATTTTAAATCATATTCTACACCTTCTAAAATCTCATTTGTGAAAATCTACTTGACGCTATGGGGAAATGATGCTACGCTTTATGACAAGAGCAGGGTACAATTCCAAAACACAATGAAGCACACCCACACTAAAAGGGGACACTCTGCAGCACCACTGGTGGTTCTGTCTATGTGCCAACAGGGAAAGCTTTCTATTTCCTTCCATGTAGCCCACATTCCTGAGTTTCATAAATATTTAAGGAGCAGTAGTTATTTGTAAAAATGTCCTCCATAACTTACCACGTTGTAATAGCTCTTGTTGATGGCAGTTGTGTCAAACCCTTTGGGGGGGCTCTTCAAAGTTCCTGATTTGGGAGACACAGGTTTCTCTGGAATAAAAACACAAAGCAGTGTTACAGGCCAACACCAAAGATGGTAAAACATGCTGGCCCAGCCCCTCCTGCACCCACGACTGCTCTCCCAGCAGCCTCAGCTCAAAGAACCAGCCAGAGAAGATGATGAGGGAAGGGTCTAGCACACAGACCAGGCTCCCTCTGGCTGGGTGTGTGGAGGTCATGGCCCAGTTCTTCAGCTGTGGATTGGAAATGACTGAGCAATTATGCTCCACAAGTGTCAGCCAAAAACAAGAGGTGAGCTTCGCACACACCTTCACAGCATCCTAAATACAAAACATCACACAAAAAAGAAAATGCTGGCAGGTACAGACAAACATCAGAACATCGAGACCCCGGTTCTAGACCAACTCTCGGGACTCCGAGTGGGCAGAACGCACAAGGCTTCCCAACCAGCAGAGAGACAAGAGGAAGGAAAGAAGAGAGGCAAACCCAGGGAAGCAGCACCACGCTGCAGCTCAGCGTCGGACGCACCGACTGCGGCTGGGACGTGTGAGAGCTCGGCACACATCCAAGACCCCAGGCAGAGTAGGAGTGGAGGAATCTCTGCTCCTCGGAAGCAGTGTGTGCCTGTGTCTGTGATGGTTCCATAGGCAGTGGGCATGCAGGTCGGTGTGTGGTGTCCACCAGGGGTTCTCCGCAGCCTGCCCATCCATATTGACCCATGGCTTGCCTTCAGGTGTGCTTGGCACCCTGATTATTACTGGCTATGTGGGGAGGGGCCAGTGGTACAAGTCTAACTGGCTCTGTGATCCATCTATCACTGGCCCCTGGGGCTACAGGATAAGGCATCGCATTGGGACAGCGGCCTCTTCCATATTCTCTACCAAGAAATTCTTCCGAATATTTCCTAGGGGACTTACATCACAGTCCCCCTCATGCCTCACCTCCCCTGAAAGAATCCTGCTGTGTGAATCCTGATACTGGGCAGGGACACATCCGGTCCCTGTGGTGTGTGAGGTGATGGCACCTGTCCACAATTCTAGTGGCCCTCCACTCTTCCTTTGCCCACAATCTCACAGGCACAGGGCTCTAGGCAGCACCTGCCAAACTCAACACTCCCAAGCTGCAAGCCCTAAAGTCAACTGCTTGTGCAGCATCTCTAATGTCTTCCAGACACAAAGACAAGCCCTAAGTGCCCAAGAACTCACAACCCTTAACCTTGGGCGTGCTTCCCCCAGAGGTGCTTGCTACCTTTCTGAGCACCTTGCTGTCAAGAACAAAACTGAAGATGTCCTTCCCAGGTGAAAGAACTCTCTCAAACCATGGATGGAAAACCACCTGCTTCTAAATGCAAGTAATACACAAGGAAAACGACCTGCTCTATACACACCCTCCTCCTAAACTCAGCTCTTCCTATGCTAAAAAGGTAACTATTAGAGAAGACTGACACTTTTACATGAGAACAATGTTTAGAGAAGACTGACACTTTTACATGAGAACAATGTTTTTTTCCATCTTCGAAGTCTGCAATTTGGGAGCAAAACACAAAGGGATAATGAAGGTGAAATGGCTGAAGGCTGACTCAAAGCCACGTTGACCCTAAACCACACAAGAAGAGCACATGTATTAGTACTTGTGCCTGCGTGGTTAACTGCACGAGCATAATCTTGAATCTGCTTTATCTTAAAATAATGAATTTGATATTTTATTTTATTTAAACTTAAGACATACCTCATTCTCAACACAATAGTTAATTGGACTCAATTTCCTATGAAAACATTAAGGAAAAAGATTTTCAATTAAAAAGGTTCAGGCTACTCATTTTATACAAAAATATAGGAAAGGTGCAAAGAGGAAACAGAGACAAATCAGAGTAATCCCACACAAACTGTCTTTTCTCCCTCTGGGGCTGCTACATGGACAGCACTGAGGCAGGCAGGTCTCCTGATCACATTCCCGAATATGCCCTGCAGTCAGTTCTCAACAGAGGGCTCCAAAGGCCACAACCCCTCCAATGAGAGTCCACAGCAGTCCTACAGGAAGCAGACTACACAAACAGGTGAGGTAGATCCCCTCCAAGGACAGCCAGCAGGCCGCCCCTTCCTCCTGACACAGCAGTCACTCATCTGCATGCTCATGCCAAGTGTCTGGGATCCAGGAATGTCAACCCAGGAGGGGACATATGTCAAAAGAACAGGGCAGGCAACAGGCAACCTTAGGGGCCTTTGGCAGCTTCTACCAAAAATGGAGGACAAAAATGTAATACGGGTGAAGTTATGGTCATTCATAATAGAAAAAAATGCATATAGCCAGGAAATCGGTCCCCAAACACTCAACCTCCTTAGTTCCCTGCAAAAACAACATGTTTAGCCCACCTTATAGCTAAAAGTTATTTAAACTCGCTATTATTGAGGTGTGGGGAAATAAAGAGGACAGAATTCAGTGCCACTTTCCCAGGGCTGCCTGATATGGCAGGTCTTCTCTTTCCTGCAATAAACTCAAAAAACTTACGCTGAAAACAAGAGAATTCAAACACAGATGTGTGAAAGAAAAACAAGTGAGGAGAGTCCCAAAGTGCCCACAATCTCACTGCACCACCTGTGGGAGGGGGTAACTCATCCTGGCCCCTGGTAGGGCCACAGCCAACACGGGGAGGCAAGGCACAGCCCAGTCCCAGTCCCAGCAGGGCCAATGCAACAGAACCTCCTGGGCGAGCCCCATGAAAAACAGCTTAGGTGCTTTCGTCCACTGGCCCAGAACCATGAAGCCACATACATCTCCTCCAAAGAAACCTGCCTGAGGAGTGTAAGCCACAGAAGAAATGAAGCCTGAGCCCAGGGCTGCAATAGGCCCAGGAGCCAAGTTCACAAAAGGCAGAAACGAGACAACCGAAGAAGTATGTTTAAAATGACAAGGAAGAGAGGGACCAAAATGAGTGAAAAAGGTAACCTGAACATGAAGAACAACTGAAAAAGAATGAAGCAAAACTTCTAGAAATAAATAATATGATCACTCAAATGAACATCTCAATGGACCCATTAACACCACAGGTGAATGGGAAATCCATGAACCAAAGTTTCCCAATTTGAGGATGTATTCAAAATTAACACCGACTGTGAAACAAACCAGAGAGAGAGAGGAGGGGAGAGGAGAGGAGGGGTGGAGGGAGGAGAGGAGAAAGAAAATGAAAAACTGGTTAAAAACCAAAACCAGGCTTTCACAGGGAAGAGGAGGGGCAGGCTTCAGCAGACCTTTCCGGAGCCGAGAAGCCTGTGTCCTGGGCTGAGGCGGGACACCCACGGGCAAGCCACAGCAGCAGCACTGGAAGGTGCTAGCTGGCTGGGCCACGATGGCCTCTTCCCGCATGGCCAAGAGGAGGCCAAACACAAGATTGCCACGCGGCCCTGCCCAGGGGCCTATTCTCCCGTCTCCCTCCCCGTCTTCCTTGTTCCCTCTGCTCCTCTTCCCCTTGCCTGGAAGTCACCATGTGCCCTTTGCCCTGTGGAGACTGCAACTCCCCACTCACCATCCACTCTCACCCTCCCGGTTCCCAGGTCCTGACTCCATCAGGTGCTGAGTCTCCTCTTCTCTAAGGGATGAGCTGCGACAGCAATTACTTCTGATTTGTCTCTGAAAATGCTGTAATTGTGCAGTTACTGTTTTCTCCTAACTTTACTACAGTAAAAAGTAGAGCTTACACAGCCATTAACATTTAGCCAATCTTACCACATATTACCCCTTTTTTCTTTTCTGGAAGCAATATACAATCAACCCCAGAAATGGCATCATTTTATCCATCAATAGTTTAATGTTCACCTTGCCAGAGTGACCTTTTTTCAGTTTTAAGCAAAAACCCTACTATCTGACTATTAATCACATCTAAAAAAAAGTAACTTTTAGTCTTTTCTAATGCCTCATCTGTGTTCAAACCTCCTTGTTTGTCGTGACAACGACTTTGGTAGTCAGCAGAGGCCAAACAGCACCAGTGCATCTGACTGAAGCTCCTCTAAGTCTCTTGCATTCTACAAAAGTGCCTGCAGATAGCACAGGGACCACCACCCTCCCTCACCTCAGGCACTATTCAGGCTGCTCCTGCTGTGCCTCATAATTCATTAAAAACCCTGCTGATTTTCCCACTACGGTGTTTCTCCATTCCTACGAATGCAGAAGGTTGCTCGCTCACATGTGTGCCGAGTGGGTATTGGTTGTGGTCTCAGAATCAGATGCACTTGCTAACAGTCTTGACAATGCAATATGAAAATATAGCTGACCAAAGACAGAAAGCAGAAGGGCAAAGAACAGGGCCATGTTAAGTCACTGTGTCACAGCAGCAGCGAGAGAGAAGCACACAATGCTGATGAGACGCAAGATGGCCTATATCACTAGCATCACCAACTAGAGGAATATGAAAGCAAAATAGCACAAGGAGGCAGGAGGAAAAGGCAAGACAGGAGACAAAACCTCCACATCCTCCCTGGAAGGGGGAGAAGAGCCTGAGCAAAGGCTGCCACTGGGCAGGGCCTGGAAGCATAGGGGACACTGCTTCACATTGCAAAGGTACTTCCATCCTACATACTATATGACCTGTTTATATTATTTAACATAAATAAGAATAACTTTGGGGGAAAAGAATGCCTCTCATACTGAAAGACTAAGGACCTGACTACAAACTGCTATATATGATCTCATCTGTGGGATGCTCCCCTTCAAGTGAGGATGATTGGTCACTGTCATCAGGAGATGGCCGTACAGAACAAGTCACACCACACACTGTGACATCTGTGCTGGGGTGAGTGCACACTGGAATGTTAAGTTGCATGAATATTTGCACTGGGATTCCAAAGATTCCAAACCATCTAATCCCAGATCCTGATACGTAGCACTGTGCTCTCCACATGTGCCTCAGAGGCTCGAATCTTCCAATCTATGCTCTTAACCAAAACCATCTGTATCTGGATGACTCCTTTATATTCTGGGTGCACTGGGGAAAATACTGTTTGAAAACAGGTCCCTGCCTGGCCCTACCTTCAACAGAGAAAGAAGGGGCTGCAGTATAAGTTTCTTCCGCAGCAGAGGGTGCAAGGTCCTGGGTCATCCTGTTCTGCTCCCAAAACTGAGCAGCATGTCCCGTCACTCTTTATGAAAAACGAGCAGGAAATATTAAAAAGTGGCGAACTCAGGAAGCCACAGTGTGAATTAATATTCAGAGGAAATGCCTCTCCTGCACAACAGATGGGCTGCCCAGAAATGCAAGGATTAGAGTCAACATGTTTGAAATAACCATCTAAGAGACACCTGGGGAGTGTGTACTACTGAGCACCTCCACTTCAAAAACAGCAAAAGTCAGCATCTCTCCATCCCAGAACAGGCTTTGCTGTGCTCTCCCCTTGCCTTCTCCCTTCAATGTAGGGAATTCCATATTATGAGCCTATGTATGTGTGAAACATTTTATATATATATATATATATATATATATATATATATATCACATGAGTTTTACACATCCAAAAAAAGACACACAGAAAATAAATGCTAAGTAACAATTACATACCTCCACAAGATTGTACACATCAGGAATAATCTACAGCACTTTTGACACCAAGTAAAGATTATTATACAGACTTGAAAGGTATCTATCTTCAAAGCAGAACTATTTCAAACAAGAAACCATCCACAGGTTAAAAGCAGAAAGCACAACAAGAACACTTCCGAGTCTAACCACAAGAGGGCATAACCTGTGGCTATGCACACTCCCCACCCCCCAAAGCAGAGATTAAGGAGACAATCTAGAGACTTTATCTGAAGATAAGCAGCCTAAACAGCAGAATTTAGAAGCAGCCCTCAGATTTTGCTTACAAAGTAAAACTACTTGGAAAGCAACCCAAAAGGTAACAGCAAAAAAAAACCCTCAATTGAAGAGAAGTCAGGGTTTTTTTTCACAAGGAAATGATCTAACATGAAGGCAGTTAGAGAAGTCTGCTTCAAACCCAGCACAATTTTTTTTCAACAAATTCAGCACCAATTACACCATGAATTACAATGCTTGAATTAAACATACCTTTAGAAAAAGAAACCTACTCCATCAGAAAGGCAATGAACTATCAAGAAAATTGCAACACTGACTGTAACTGCAATCCTAGAATTTTATCCTCCTGCTATTGTGGGAGAATAAAAGATGTGGTCTCCCACCTTTCTGCTTCAGCTGCCAACATTTGGAATCAGACTGGCCTGACTTTTCTAACAACATACTCGGATGATTACAGAACACTAGATGAGAAGTCATTCCCCTAGGTTCACTGTCAAATAAAGGACAACAAATAATGGTATGTGTCTTATATTTTTAAAAACAGAAAAATTTCAAAGCCAACCTACTCACTGCTCCATTTGGTACATAAACTATGGATATGGTGTGGTTCCCTACAAACAATGCATCTTTAATACCAATGTATCACAAACACAGATTTAAACTGATCACACACACTCAGAAACAAGATACTAACATAGAAATTTAGGTAGGGCAGAATGTCACAGCTGCCCCTGAGGGAGGTCAACACAGAACACTCCTTTCACCGGTCCCTCCTACCTAGCTTCCTCAGCCACTGCTAACCCTGATGCCTCCACTCCACACTAAAGAGGGGCCTGCCTGCAACACATCAGGACACGTCTGCAACCTTAATGAGCAACCACATGCTGTTCAGCAAACATGAAATATGTCAAGAGCTTTGTAATGTTTTGAACAACTAATAAAAAAAAAAAAAGTAAGAATGTACTCAAGAATGTAACCTGGTCTTTCCACAGGTTAGCATTGTATGCTACAATTTCCCCTCTTCTCCCACCTACAGGCTGGTTCACGTGTTCTGAGCATGTCTAAAGTAGGCTAGGCTAAGCCATGGTGTTCAGCAGGTTAGGTGGCTTACCATATTGTAACTTACAACTGGTTTACCTAAAGTACAACCCCATCGAAAGCCGAGGAGCACCTGTACCTAACCTGTGAAAACAAGGACTTGACCAGTCACATACCAGTAGCACTGCACACAGCAGCCCAGATGCAAAAGCAACGCAACTGCCCATCAGCAGACAATCAAAGGTAATACACATGCAGAGAAGGGAATTCCGACACATGCTACAACAGATGGACCTTAAGCACATTACACTCAGTGAAACAAGTCAGTCAAAAAGACAGAAACAGTATGTTTCTATTTATATGAGCTGCTCGGCTTTGGAGACATAAAGTAGAGTAGGGGGTACAGGGCTGGGGAGGGGAGCAGGGTATCAGTGCTCCCTGGGGCCAGAGCCTCAGATCAGGAAGATGAGAAACTTGTGGAGGCTAACAGAGGCAATGTATGCACATGCCTAATGCTACAGAATTACACACTCAGAAACCGACAGAATGGCTAGGTGAATGTTATATAAACAAGGTACCAAAAATGAACAGTAAAACCCAGAGAACTTTGTAACTCTCGGCTGCCCGGCTGCCCGCTGTCTTACTGAAGTGTAACAGGCATCCTTAAAATCAGGAACTTTCAATAAGCCTCAAACTGCTTTTCCTCAGTCCCATTCATTTCCTGCTAACTGTTCTTCAAGCTGTTTTCTCCATCCTGTTTCCCACAGGCAATCACCTCATCTCATGCTGAGAACAGGAGCTAAGAATGCTCCCAAATCCCAGGCCCTGGGCACCAGAGGGTACAAAAACCAGAACTGCCACACAGGCTCACTGGAGGCCATAGCCAGACAGATGTGTATTTCTCAGCTTCTGTTCTACATGACTGTTCCCTCCAGTAACCTGTAATAGGTTGGAAAGGCAGAGCAGTAGTTTCTGGGTTTGGCCAAGCTGTGATTAAATTCACTTTTCCCTTTTATATTGTTTTGCTCTCATTCCTGATGCAGACAGAAAACTGAATCCAGTTAGATGGGATCCCAGATTCAGGCCTCTGGCCTGGGCCCCAGTAACAAAAGCACTAAGTTTTCCAAGGTCACTGTTGAGAAAATATTTTACTATCAAAACTGTCATTTTCACATTTAAAATTCATTTTTTCTTGCTACATTAAAAAATAAAATAACAGCAATGACAACTCAGGGACCCTGCTTTGTGTAAGCACTGAGTTCCCACCATACATACTGCAGCTAAGTAGCCCCACCAAGGGACTTCCACAAGCAATGCACAGAGTCGTCCTTTCCATCTGAAATATCTGCAGTTTAGGCCATACCCACCCCAGCACACTATGCCCTTTCCACACATCCTGTTCAGCCATATTGGTAAATCATCTTTCCCAGGCGGAATCAGAGAAACAGTATAGTGCACTACTTTCCAAATAGCAGGAACAATATACAAAGTTACAAAATGTCATCCCACCTCTCTCCCTACCTTCCCACATTCTTCCCCTTTCTGACCCTCCTTCTGAAATCTCATTGCAAATCTTTATCTCTCACAAGAGCATCTATAACCAAGCTCAACATAAAACAAGATTTACATATGTAGAGGCAATTTAGGCAAGCTCCTTGAAGGCCAGCAATGCCCAGTAGCATTCACATGACCTAGAAGTCTCTATGGAGTTCCTTCTTAATCCTCCACACTGGCCCATGGCCTGAAGTATGGCCAAGAAACACCTGTGTCAGGAAAACATCAATACCACGTCCCCTGAACACAGTCCTCTGGCACTTCAGTCGCTGGTCTCACCAAGGTTCAACATTCACAGCCACTCCCTGGTCAGCAGATCTAACCACAAGCCTCAGAGAATATTCAACTCCACTGTGCATATCAGCGATATAACTATGCCAAAGACCACCACTCTCTTTCAAAAGAGATCAGCCTCTGAAAGATCAGTTTTGGTCAGTAAAAAAACATCAAAAAAATACAGAAAACACAAAGAAAGCAATACATTTTAAAATACTATTACTGATATAAACAGCAGAAATTATCTACAAATAGATGATTGGTAAAGTGCCCACAGTTAAAAGCCTGTGTATCACAAATTCCAAGCCCTGACCCCAGCCCTAAAAAATAAAAGTATATCTTAACACAAAAGTGTAACCACAACTACACAGTGGCACACACCTGCAATCCCAGCTGTACTCGGAGGCTGAGGCAGGAGAATCACTTGGGAGTTTAGGACCAGCATGAACAAGGTAGTAAGATCCCACTTCAATTAAAAAAAAAAAAAAACTTAGCAGAGCATGGTGGTACACGCCTGAAATCCCAGCTACTCAAGAGACTCAGGCAGAAAGATCTCAAACTTCTGGCCAGCCTGGCAACTTGCCTGGCAACTTAGAAACTATCTCAAAAATAAAATGGGATGTAATTCACTGGAAGAGCACTTGCCTACCATGTACAAAGCCCTGAGTTCAACCCTCAGTACCTGGAGGAGGAAGGAGAGAACATTAACACATTTGAGATATTTCCCTTGGAATCTGGAAAATGTCAGGATGGAATGCAAAGCTAGGTTATAACTGTGAAGCCCTTTGTCCCAGAACTCCAATGTTAGGGATTCCACTGAACAAAAATTTCATCACGACAGAGGCACTTTCCCAGACTCTCTTGGAGAGCTAGCACTCAGGATGCCAATGCATTCATGGCTGCTTTCTCAGCCTCAAGAACAGCAGTCATCAGTGCCACTTCAGGCTTGGCCACTTACCACTTGGCTTGATCTCACGCACATAGTTGCTGGGGAACCAGCCAGTCCTGCCATTGTGCGTGCCTTCCCACCAGCCTCCTTCCTCCACTCGAGTGACGTGGATGACATCACCCTTCGTGAACGAGAGCTCATCTTCATTGGTCTGCTGGAAATTGAACTTGGCTCTCACTACCAGCTGATGGTTGCTGTTATCAGTCATGTCCTAAAAAGCAGGTGGGGAGGAGTGGGAAGAAGATTACTTGAGATACAGTCTACTCCATTAAAATAAGTAAGATTATATTTTATAAAGGCAGCCAAAACATTATTATAAATGCCCAAAACATTCAAACAGCAGGAAAATGTCTAAAATAAAGAAACAAGTTTCCTGTCTCTCCCAGTGCACCTTGCTCACCATTTGGTCCCGGCCCCAGAAGAGACCCTCTCCAGAGCTTAAAGGTCTCATTCTGCAACTGCTAAACCTGCACAAACCGATATACATTCACACACATTTAGAAGGATCAGCGCGCATACTCCTCCAATACTTAGGCCAAGTCAGCATTCTGCAGTCATTCTTCCAGCAATACTTAGAACCAACTAATTGCATAATGCTGTACTACCCGGGTGCCATTATTTTATCACTCTCCAACAATGGGCCTTTAGATTATTTTTTTAATATACTACATACAGTATTTCTGTCTTGCAAAACAAGGCTACTTTAAAAATGCTTGCATGTCCATCTTTGAATATAATTAGCCTCCATGTTAAATTCTAGTAAAAGAACACATACTAATACATGTTAAATGTAAAAATAAATTTCTAAACTGCCCTTCAAAAAGGTTCTCCATATTCACACCAAGCAACATGCCCACCAACCATATCTGAAGAGTTCTTTATCCGATTTTCACCAACACTGGGTATTGTTGAATGTTTATTTTTTTCCCCACACAAAAACTGCAGTTTTCAAAGTCTCTGGAAGGCAGGAAGAGAAAAGCAGACTCTTGAGTTTCTTCCTATCTCCATATAATCTGGACTAGGCTCTGGAGAGGCCAGCAACCCAAATCCACATGAAAGTCCACAGGGGAAAAAAAACAAGTCCCGGAGAAGCCTAAGGGGCAGCCCAGAGGGCCCATGAGACCACTCTCAGGCCCACAACACGAACTACAACCTCGTTGAGGAACCAGTGAGGATGGTGTGGTGTTCTCCTGTGCCCCGCCACCAGGGGGAAGCCCATTCCACATGCACCATGGTGTCGAACAGGTACTGGGCAAAATGTCCAATGGCCACATAAACAAAGACAGGACTGGGAGTCCCAGCACCTAGCAGACAACCAGGAGACACATGCCTGACATCATGTCCAGAAGACAGCAAGCAGATGTCCAGTAGAGTAGAGACCATGCCCAAGAGACAGCAAGCGGACGAGCAGGAGAGAGGACCCCCAAGATGATATCAAGGCAACAGCAGACATGGAAGTGGATGGAAGAAGTTCAGCAGTCATCATAAAGTTTTGAAAAAGCCCCTACAAACTGTCTTGAAATAGAAAAAAAAAACAGAGAAAACCTCAGGAAAGAATGGCATTTACAAACTTCACTCAGAAGAAAGAAACAGAGCATGCTGAAGAATAAGCAGAACCACAGGGACTATGGCATGACAAGGGCTGCCAAGTGGCCAAGGAACACACCTGGAAAAGCCCTGGAATTGACAAAGGCACACCGTTACAGCAGGACAAATCCACAAACATTCAGACCAAATCACATCCTAGCATTAAACCTCTGAAAACAAAAGGCAATAAAATTCATAATGTCAGGGAAAAAAAACAATCTGCGGATTATAAGACCTCAACACATTTACATCCCATGTGCCCTTGCTCCAGGAACAAATGAGAGAAACTGTGCTCCTCCAAGACAGGTGAAATGCAAGGGCAAAATGAAGACATGGAGAAAGTGGTGGAGGAGAGCCACATAGGTCAGAAGCACCTCCAAGGAGGACCAAGCAGAATCAGAGACTGCCATGCAACAGCCTGCATAACACCAGGAGTGTTCCTCAGGGAGATAAGCAAGAAGAAATCTAACAGGTTTGAATGCATACAAATAGATTCTTAGATCAGGGCTACCATCTGCAAAAAGGACAGGGAAAACAAAAGAAAGAAAGATAATTACGCATTCCAGAAAGCATGGCTGCGACATGGCTCCACTATGAACACTGTTGGCTTGGCCACCCTAATGTTCTAAACACCGAACTAACTGAAGCCAGGATAGAGCTTGGCCACAAAGACAATGGGACCACAGAGCATTGGGGAGCAGGTAAAGGGACCGCGTGTAAAGAGCTCACCACTCTCTACTATGGACATCCACACTGAAAAACATTTCAAATTAACCCCCCTCCTCCAAAAAGGCCATTTTCCTTTGACACACATAGGCAAAAGCCTAAAAGAACCTCTAGTAAAACTGCAAGTGGCTGTCTCCAGCAAGTCTCAGAGTTACTCTAACCAGGAGCAGGTGAACATCACGAGACTACACCCCCACCACGAGGGAGATCCTTAACAAAGAGTAGCTGAGTAGCTGGCTGGTCATTCTCAAATGCTTAATACTTAGCTACCTAAATGTGTGTACAAATTAAACATTAATCATAAATTATAAGTATGTATCTAATAATTAAAAATCCTGAATAAATAACAGTTAACATATCTTTAATATCTAACACAGGAGTCTCTTCCTCAACATGTGGCAGCGCAGGCTCCAGCTGACAGCCATTGCTCAAGCATAGAACTCACCACCCACCAATGGCATGAGCAAGATAAAGTGGCAGTCACAGTGGCACTTGCTCTTGGGAGATGGAACATCATCCAACTCACCATGCCATAGCGAGTCTCCTTCTGCAAACCACCCTCATGCTCACCAGCAGTCTACCACAACCCTACCACCTTCTACTTTCTATAGCTCAGCCTTGTATAAACATTCACACAGTGATTCTGGTGAGGAGCTCACATAAGGAACGAACTGTGGAGCGCAAGGGAGCCTAGGGGTCCATAAGGGGTCCTCCAAGGTCACAGTGCCCAGGACAAGCCCACTGCCAGCCTCCTGTAAGCTGCAGCTGGGTGCCAGGCCATGGAGGTCAGCTCCACAGTACAACAGTAGGTGAGTAGAAATCAGGAAATTACACAGGAGGTAAGCTACATTCCCCCTATAGACAGGAAGGTGAAAACAGTACTCTCAACTCGGATGGGTGCCAGGGAAACACCCAAGGACTTCTGTACTTCACAAACGAAGCAATCAGAAAGGAAAAGGCTGTGAAAAGGGCAGCATCCAAGAGAAAGACAAGGCATGCCACAAAGAACAGGACCACCTGGACCTGTGTGACAACTTCCGCTCAACAAACTCACCTTCTTCAGCGTCTTTATGGTGACGGGATGTGGATTTCTTTAACACATCCTTTTACAATAGTGCCCAAAGGGCAAGACGCACCAGACAAGCCAAAGGGAGGGTGTTCCAAGACATCTACATACTCCAGTTACCCGCCACACAACACCAACTGCAGTCTGGATCACAACAGCAGAGTGTGAAAGGCTCCCTTCATTGTCTCTAGTGCTACAGGAAGCTAGAATGATGAATTTAACCCTATTTTATCACTGTGGGCTTTCTTCTTTCTCATTTTTAAAAAGATCTCCTAAACAGTGGTTTGTCATCCACCTGGATTCAATGTGACATTCTAGTACTCTCTCAATAAAAAATGCATTTATATAAAATAAAACCAGGTGACACTCGTCTGTACTGTTAGAAATCACAACAGCAGATACCCTTGGGGGGGGGGGGGAGACAATGAAAGCATCCTGAGGCTAGTCTTGTGGTCTTACTGGATGCTGCTTAGTTAGCAATCTTTGATGTGTGAAAATCCATCCTGCTGTACACACAACACATGAGCTTTTTAAAATGCATGTTACAAGTCAACAACTATTAGCAATGGGAAGGGACTGAAGACTCCCTCCCCAAAGGGAAAAAGGGTCCCTACATGGGCCTATAGGACACCTCCCCTGAGAACAGTCACCTAGCCACTGGGCAGGCTCTTCTCCACAACCTTCCTGGCTCCTACAGCCAGAGTTTCATCTGCCAGTTTCTGGCATATTCCTCTTCATCAAGTGGTATTCTACCCACAGTCCTGCAGGTATCCAACCCGGAAAAGCCTGCAGCCTTCAAAGCTCCAGATCCTCCTCCACGTCCCAGAGTGCCCAGACTCTCATTCATTGAAAAAAGGCTTGTCATGGAGTCAAAAACCCAATATCTACTCCACAGTTTCCAGTCCCAGTTCTACAATCCTGGGTAAATACCCACCTTATCTAAGTTTCAGTTTCCTCATAATGTATTTCATCTAGTATAAGTTGCCAAAAACTGGACAATGCCCATTGTTATATTATAAAACACTAAATACTATCAATTAAATTACAGAATACCATAAACTATAAGATACATGTTACTTTCAGATATGCTAAAATGTTTTACAGAAAAAGGTCTTAGAATTGACAAAATATGATTCATGATATATCCCATGTTTACTCAAGGGAATTGAAAATATTTAACAAAGCATATATAATAAAATTTGATGTGATTTCTTGCATGCTTTGGACACTTTGTGAACTCGAAGACCGGTACCCAAGCAAGGTCACTCAACAGCATCACAAGGCCAAGGGGCCTGGGGTCCCTGGCTCCTGGAGTGCTGGGGGCCACAGAAGAGGAAATGCCTTAAGAGATCAAGTCACTTCTCCCAGAATGAAGAAGGCAAAGCAAAACTGTACAAAACCCTGTCCCCAATCTCAGAGAACAACACTGGGAGTTGGGAGCCGTGCTCATTAACAGCAGATAAAGGCTTAGCTAGTACATAAACCCTGTTCCCAAACTGAGAATAAAGAAGGGAACGTGGGGCTATGCTCATTAACAGCCAATGCAGATGCAGGACATGACAGTGACTCCAGAAGCATCAACAAAAGTCCTTAAGAAAAGAAAGTTGGAAGTCAGAACTGAGGAGAAAAAAAACCCAAATCTATGCCCTGGATCCACTACACTCTTGATTATCTCTCCCAGGTTTCTCCTTCTGTGGTGACAGGCAAGCTGCAGAGCAGAGCTGGACAAGGAGATCTGCTTAGCGGAGAGCATGTAAATGGGCAGGAAGAAATCACCCAGAGAAAGGCAAGCTGAGGGAGCCACAGGAAAGAGGCACCGAGTGAGGAGGTCCAGCTCCCACTGCAGAGCCAAATGAGCAGCAGCAGCCCTAGCCAGCCTGCACCCCAGGCAGGAACTGTCCTGGAGCAGAAAGATGACGGCTTCGCAGATTTAAAACAAGGTTACGAAAACAACCAGCAGGTGAGGCGGCAATCGGGTGCAACATTCGGAGACTGAAAGGGATGTGGGGGTCAAAAAAGCTAGCTTGAGCAAAGGAGCTTAAACAGTGCCTGAGAAGTGGACCAGCTTGGGTGGGAGTGCCTGCTGTGAGTGCAGGGCTGAGCTCTGTCACAAGATCCCAGAACTGATGCTCCACAACTACAAGGGGCATTTCAGCTTAAGTTCTTATGGAAATTTTCAAGCATAGGTAGAGGTTGAGAATGATAAATGGCCTTCCACGTACTCATTACTCAGCTATGAACACTCTGCCATCCTCATTTCTAGATTCTAGATTCAAAAAAGTCACCTCACAGTGCTGTGAGCAAACTATATTCAGAAAAATCTAAAGGCAAAGAGTCGCTCTCACCTAGCATGCAAGAGAGGTCTGCCATGTCCCATGCAGGAGAAGCCAGCACAGCAGCAGCAACAAAAAGAACCCTTTCACTCCTGGTGTAACTTACCAATTTCTCTAGCTAATGGAATGTTAATCCTGTATGATTAAGATCTCAGTAACATTCATCTTCAACCACATACTTTACTTAATATCATACATATTTCCCAGTCTTCCTTTATTCAGTAAGAAAAAAGGAAAACCAAAATGAAAACTTCCATGGTTTGAAGTATTTTTTTTTTCACTGAAAGTATGTTTTCTCTTACATTTTCCTTACATATTTTATAAAGCTAATTTAAAATGTTTCAAGTTTTCTCCTTAATTTGGAATCATAATGCTCACAATGATAATGCTACAAAACTCCTCCTGCATCACATCCTATAAAAAAACTAGACCACATAAGGACCAGGAGGGCTGCAGAAGAGAGGCCACAAAAATATGAAGGACTGAGCTGGTATAGGCAGATCACAATAAGGCGTCACTACCTGCAGATGCAGAACCTAGGACAGGCTTCTCCAAGGGCAAATGTAAGGACAAGAGTAAGGTTCACTTCAAAACACTTACGAAAATGTAAAAACTACATTTCTCCTGAATCTTATTTTTAACCCTATTCCTTGAGCTACACTCAAATTTATTTCCAACTACAAAATACAACTCTGTCCAAATGAACTCTCACTTCCTGACCGTCACTATTAGCAAAACCTCATAATTTCCTGTGTTACAGCAAAAAGAAAGTGGGGTCCCTAAAATCTCTGAAGATGTGAGCTCTCATGACTACCATTGTAAGATTCTCCTTATACAAGGAGAAAAAAATGGTCATGCCTCTATTAGCAAATCAAGAACTGCCAGCCCCAGGTGGCCCAAAAGACAGCAGGACCTGACCAGGACAGTAAGACCTGCGACCTCCCTGCAGACTCACATTCAGTCCCATGCTCTACCTTCCCCTATGTCATCTCCAGGCACTGTTACAGCCTGTGCCCTTAGCATTTATGAGCAGGTTCTTCTTCCCTTCCCAAGACGACTCTCCACCTAAGTGCCTTTCCTTGTGTCCTGAGCAGCCATGGAAAGCTCTGAAGGCAGGCTTTCAGGAAGAGGAAAAGGCTACCTTTGGCTTCTTTGGTTAAAACCGTCTCTCCTTTGTATGGCTAAGTTCTTCCACACATACATTTCTTCTCATGCTTCTGTGTATAGCAGTTGAGAAAGCACTGTGTCAGGGAAATATGTTAAAAGTACATGCTTCTCTATACAAGCAGAATTATCAATCTTAATATAACCCCAGGAAATAAGTTTTCTGAAAGCACTCATTCAGCATATCATCTGAAGGATCTGGTAAGGACAAATACAAAACCAGGCTGCAAGAGCAATGGAGGCAAGGTCAAATACCTCCGGGCTGCTTTAGCACTGTTAGCAGGAGCACAAGCATCTTTCCAGACACATTCATACACTCCCACATTCCCAAATACACGAGAATTTAAATAACAAAACCTCTCAAACTTACCAAACTTCGGTACTGGCCCTGGAACAATTTTGAAGTCCGACTGTGTGAAGACTGGGATCCCAGGGAGTCAAAAGACTTGATCCGATGCGAAGAGGGCCGAGCACATACGGAGTCGCTCCCTAGTCCAATGTCTGAAAAGGTCATGCACACAGAGAAAAAGCGCTGAGAACGCCTGACACCATGCTCCCATGCCACACGCTGGCTCTAAAACTGGGCCAGCAGAGGGACACACCGAATACCACAATAAAGCAGGCCATTTATGCAGTAAACAAAGAGCAGATTCTTTGTCCCATAAATAACTCGCATTCATCCCCAATTACCTCTCCAGAAACTATCTGAAGATGATTTCTCATCAGCATTTCTCTAGTATAACTTTTCAAAAGTTTGTGAAACGTTTTATAAGTTTTTAATATATTTCTTCACCTGAAAAACAAGCTTCTCAAATACAACTCCCCAGCAGAAAACAACTCAGTTCTCACTCTCAAAACATACCACAGCACATATGCCATTTCTCCAAGATTACTTCCCATGCAGAGAGCAACAAGAATTATTTTGCAACACAAAGAACTCTTTTCCTTGTGCATTTTCTGGCCAGAGACCCTTCTGGGTCTTATCTCCTCAAGAGCAAGCTGCACGTGCTCCACTTGCCTCACCCCATTGTTGAGAGCCAAAGCCAGCAGGAATTAATGCGGCCCTCCCCACTCGGGATTCCCACCACAACAGGCCAACCAACAAGTCAATGTCAGCAGACCATTTCTTAGAAATGATTTGATTTGAAAAAAAGGAAAATGATGGTGTGAGGAATTTACTAGGGAAAACACTTTTCAAGATGTATATGCCTTACCCTGTCCTACCCTGTCCACAAAAGCACCCTACACTGACAATCGCCCAGAGCCCGCCCATCTTTCAGGCAAATCTGTTGGAACTGGCTTACATTGTACTTTATAAAGTTCTGAAACAGCTAAAAGTCTGAAGACTGTCACAGAAAAGCCCAGAGTTGCACCTTCTCTTGGCACATTCGGGCTAGAGCAACACAGGGTCCATACCTTCTCATGGACAAAATGGCTCAAGGCAGCCAGAACTGCAGAAGATTCAGGGCCAGACCTTCCCACCAGGTCCTACCTTTATGCTGCTGCTGGCTCCACACTCAGAAGTGTGGGACATTGTATTGACATTCCCCCTAAAATGTGCCTGCACTTGTAAGATCCTATGTAGGGACAGGAGTACTTCTCAAGTACTTTCTACTTGAGAAGACAAAGCCTAAATACCACCCCAACACAAAACCAGCCACAGAGGATATTTTCCTGGAACCCGCCCATGGGTCTGTCACCCTAGCTACACAGTGCTAACCTATCCTGGCCTTCAAGAGAATTCTCAGTGCAACCAAGGCATCCTGACTCCTCTCCTTCCCCATCATCAATTCTTCTGGCCAACTGAAAGGCAAAAACTCATCTAAATGCCTTAAGAACACACATCCTTTAAGTGACAGAAACAGAGGGAAGATGATGGCAGAAATTTCCCAAAAATGGAACAGCTGTGACCATACTGCATTGAGGCAAGTGTTTAAAGTTGAGAACTAAAAAGACAGTCAATTCCATCACACTGACTTCAATACAATAACCAAGAGCAAGGAACCAACAAACAGAAAAGTTAAAAGCTCTTGCAAAATAGTCACTAACATTAACTAAAAGCTGAAAAGTACCAAATTTATCTCCTAACTTCTAAATATGACTTTATAAGGAAAAGCACTACATATTTTACATCCAATGCAGACCCAAGGACATCAATACACAAGAAATACTTCTGCAGGAGGTGGGGGTAGAAAAAACAGTGGCATGTGTCCAAGAGCCACTGATCCCAGTTTGTTTACAAATCCATCATTTCTCTAAAAAAATCTCAATGCCTCAAACCTGGACCGCTGACAGGCACGGGATCCAGCGTGGCCTGCAGCTCCCCAGCACCTCTCCACACTCTGTTTTGCTAACTCAAACACTGAGAGAGCACCCACAGCAATATTTTCACTGGGGTCCAGCTGAGGATCACCTATAGATTTCATTTACCAGGGCCACCCCATCCTTGTCTGCCACAGAGACCTATACTAATTATAAAGTCATAATTCACAATTCTAAGGCAGACACGCGCAGCTGCATGTCCCTTATGACAGGGCAACATTCTCAAGACTGTGCTATCAGGAGGGAGATCCTGTCATCATGCAGACACCACAGTATGCTGGCACCAACCTAGAGGATATAGCCCTGTGCACACTTAGGCCACATGCTGCACACTGCTGCACATGTAGCCCATCACCAACCAAAACAATCTCACATGACTAGTGACCGTGTCCAAGCAGCTGGTAGATGGACACTTGCCTGGGTGGATACAGGAACCTGCCACACTCTCAAGATCTCATGCAAGGTCTCTTGTATTAAATCCTGGTGTGAGCTACATCTCCCTGAATTTCACGTAACTGATTTTCTTCCTTGCTATTTGTTCACATTAAAACTACAATTTTGACCGTAAAGGGACAGAGGATTGCTTCGGTGTCTATTTAACCACCTATAGAAAACACCAAATAGTCATTTGCAATACATCATTAAGTGATTAGACAATCTTAAGGATTCCTTCCCTGGAATGGTTTCTTAGATGGTTCCATCTCCACAGCCCTAGAGGTATGCAACTTTCAATCTCAGAGTGAAGCCCTGAAGACACAATCACATTCCTGTGGGCAACCTGTTCTGGGGCAGTGCTCTGTGCCAGTCAGGCCTCACCTCCACTGCACACAGGAGCCTTGCTTTGTCTCAGGCTCAGGCAGAGAATGGCTTCCAGACAGGACTCAGAGTAAACATGCACTGGGAAGTGGCTCAGAGGCCAGTCTCTAAAGGAGGGCTTGTAGCACCAGGAACTGAAGCCCAAGTGCTCAGGATAGCAGAATTATAGCAGCAAAGCAGTAGGCGCTCATTTCTTAAATTCAGTAATGCTCATTTTGCCTTACTAACAGAAAACCAAAACCTTTCTCCATTTAGTATTCCCACCCCCTCAAATGTAATAAAAAAGGAGTCTTACCTGCTGTTACTTTATTTAGAGTCACTAAGGAACTGAGGACCTTGTTAAAATTCTGCCCCTGATACAAATCATTTGCATCAAATGTCTGAAAGGAAAAATTAAACAAGCAGAATTAGTACTGAATCTCATGTTGAATGCAGCATCAACAAGTTCTGGTGTGGGATTCTTATCCTGAAATCCCAAGAGGAAGCACAATATGCGAGAGCAGGCCAGAGGAAAAGGACTAGAATTCCTGCATAGGGCACAGTTCAAGCCCTCGGATGAGGACCAGCTGCCTATCCATGAGCACCCACCCAGGGCAGGGGCCACCCAGCTGCATGTGCTTGGTGAAGGCTCACTGGTAGCTTGCAGCCCTCTCCCCCTGGAGTATGCAGAGGCCAGTGGATAAGGCACACCCCCGATGTTTTTTCCCAGCATAAAAAGAAGGCAAGATACAGCTGATTCCAAAACTAACAGGTACAAAAGGAAAATACAGACGTGAGCGAGCACAATGGATGTGAAAGTATAAGGAAAGGGATCAGGTCACACAGAAGGGACAAGGGAGGGACTCATTGGGCAGAGACTTGGCCAGGATCAGGACCATCTGGCACCTCCTCCAATCCAGAGCTGTCTAGAGACCTGGGACCCTGAGGAGACAGTCACATCCCATAGACAAGCACTTCATACCACACACGTAGAGCTGCCACAGAAAGCGCATGAGCTCACCTGGAGGCAGACAGCTGGAGTCTGCAGTGTGTGTGTGTGTGTGTGTGAGAGAGAGAGAGAGAGAGAGAGACAGAGAGAGAGAAAGCACACATGTGTTAACACCATCCAGTTGGAGCTGGGAGAGAGAAAGTACAAGACATGATATAGACAATTGGAGTGTGTGTGTGTGCACGTGCGTGAGAGAAAGTGCACATGCACAAGGGTGCACACCAATCACCTGGAGCTCAAAGAGCACACAAGAGATGGCCTGGATATAGACAGCTGGGTACAGAGTCTGTGAGGGTTGTGTGTGTAAGTGTGTGTGTGCATGCACAGATGTACTAAAACACATAGCTCTTTGCAAATACGGTCTGAGAACTACCTGTCACTTTTGATCACCAACCAACCTTATACAAAAACAATTTTAACAGTCAAATCATCCACTACTCTGTCCTAGAAAAATTATGAAAGAAAAAATATCTTTCAAGCCGGGCGTGGTAGCAGGCACCTGAATCCCAGCAGCTCTGGAGGCTGAGGCAAGAGGATCATAGTTCAAAGCCAGCCTCAAAAACAGCAAAGTGCTAAGCCAACTCAGTGAGACCCTGTCTCTAAATAAAATATCCAAAAAGGGGGGTGGGATGTGGAGTCGGGGATGTGGTTCAGTAGCTGAGTGCCCCTGAGTTCAATCCCTGGTACAAAATACACACACACACACACACACACACACACGGTGCCAATAACAAAAGTATATTTAGAAAACAAAATGAATGTCATGTTAACATAATTTGAATGTTATGTTAACCACTGACCAGAATAAGCATCAGTGGCTAGTCCACCTAGCACCTCTGCCCTCCCCCTGGGTTCAGCTTCTTCCTCTGGAGGACACTCAGAGATATGTCAGGAACTCCCTTCTGCTCCCCTACTTCCTGTCCCCCACCCACATCCTTCCCGACTAAGTCTTACTTCCTGAAGGATCAGCCCTGCCTGGACAGCCTTGTTGAGCCCCCAATAGGCTCCCCCAGAACATGTGTCACAGGAATAGTTTCAATCAGTTTCTACCATGGAGTGTAAGATCTACAGAAGCTAAATGCACACCTCCCAACACCTAGTGTGTTGGATGTGTGCTGATAGATACATACTCCAGTCCATCCACCACCCACTGGGTACTCAATATCACTGTGAGTGAAGTGCATATCAAGAGACACCAAGAAGTGCAATTCCAAACCTGATTGTAAACTGCTCTCTTGCACAAAAATCACCTCCAGTTGATAGTCTTCTGTCCACAATTTTTGAAGTGAATAAAAAATAGTTATGAGGTATGTTTATTCAAACACAAATAACAAGAGAAAACTGAGAAGATGGAAAACTCGGGAGACAAATTTGGCCTCGGAACAGAGGCCAAGGCACCAAGACAATCAGAAAGGACTAAAAGCATAGCTCGCTGTCTGAAGCTCATGAGAAGAAATCAGATGGACCTATAAACCCTACCAAGCCAGCTGTAAGCACAGCTAGGCATCCCATCGCTGATGTGGGTCTCATGAAGCCAGGGTCCTCCTTAGAACAGCCCCTTCAGAGCCATCTATAACACGGAGTCAATCCATGTGCTATCCATGATCAAGAAGCAGTCCAACACCAGGGAGAGCTCTACCTAAAGCTGTTCAAGGGCTAAATATGGGTTAAGTTGCACCTTCTTAAGCAATAACCTTAACAGGCCTCAGCTTCATTTAGATACAAAACAGTTCCTTTAACTATAAAATGAATTCCCTTAACTATAAAGTGAATTCCTTCCGTTCCACAGTTTAATTCCAGAGCCTGGAAAATTTAAGCTGTGGTACTCTACCAGAAGAAACACATATAGAAATGTCCACTAACCTTCATCATGGCAGGGCAGCAAGTCACAAACTCAGAACAACAGGATGTAGAAATGTGAAGTTTCCTGTTATTGCCAGACTATGCATCTTTCCCACTGGGACACCAGGAAGCGCCTGACTGGCCAAAGCCACCAATGGGCTTCAAGCATGACGTCACCACTCCATGAACACTCTCCACACTCAACAGGAAGCCAAGACAAAGGGATGAGACAAGCACCACTGAGAACACATCCTAAGCCAATAAGTCGCTAGGGAGACTCTACAGAACATTCCCTGGAAGAGGAATATGCTCAACAAAAAGCAAAACAGACAAATCTCAAAACAGAGAAACTTGTAGGAGGGGGGCAAGAGAAAAGTCTCACTAGAACTTTTACAGAAATGCCTCTACAAAAAACTAAATCAGTGTATGCATGAGAATTACAATCACTACACATAGAACACAGAGAATTATTCTGAGGCCACTCAGCGTCTAAGACAAGATAAATGTGTCGTCTCGACCCTACAGGCCTCCCTCCCACCCTAACTGCTGGAGGCTCTGAAAAACAGCAGAGTCCGCTACTGGAAAGGGAAGGTACAAATACGGGAGGAAACAAGAGCCCCATTCCACTGTCACTAGCCTTTCTTTGGTGGCATCTGGGGAAGTGGACATAGTACAAGCTGCACAGGAGGATCTCCCAGGGGACTAGGGAGAGCAAGATGTCTGAATGACCTCCCAGAACAATGCAAGTAGAATCTGAGGGAGGGAGGGACCCAGAAATCAGAATTTTAATAGATTCCAAGTGACTCTGATGCGTGGCCAGGGGTGAGAAGCACTTCCCCTGGGGAGACAAGAAAAGTCATCAGGAGTCCTGCAAAGTGGCAGGCTCACAAAGACAGGATGAACACTACCCTCCTCCTCCCTCAGCACAGGCACCACAGGGACACACACAGAAGGAAGCACCAAATATCTAGTACCAGCTACAATCTACCCAGTTGGGGTATAACAAAAACTCATTCTTACTTTACATTTGAGTAAATTAAACGTGCCATAAAATAATCCAATATTTCCAAAATAAAATTATTCTACCAATTTTCCACTAAAAAGTTCACAATATTAAATGTATTGTTTGCATTTTATTTTGAACATTTTATGTTTAGTAGAAACAGTATTGCATAATGAAATACAACAATACCAAACCACCCAGAAACCAAGGTTTAAAAGAACTGGAATACTCCAAGTAGAACACAGAAGTGCTTTCTGAAAGCTCCTGTCTTCTCTTGTCTGGAGGACAGGAGAGGACATGTCACAAAGCAGCAGACTGTGGAAGGAGGCGGAAGGTCCTGCTAGGAGCAGTCTATGAGGCTGAAGGCCCTGGAAGGTCAGCTCTGCCATCTGCATGTCCTAACCTGTAATAAGACACTGCCCCGTGGGCCTCAGGCTTCTTACCTCATGACAGGAATAAGTGGCAAAGGAGATGTGTATGAGGACCACCCCAAGAATGGAAGTAGCACCTGTGCAGGCCTCACACATGGGAAAAGGGAGATGGCCGGAGCAGACTGACCAACCAGTGATGATATTCTGCCATAGAAAACTTATTTTTAAAAAATACAAAAAAAAAAAAAAAAAAGGGCTGGGGTTGTGGCTCAGAGGCAGAGTGCATGCCTAGCATGAGTGAGGCACTAGGTTCCATCTTCAGCACCAGAAAAAAAACAAATAAATAAAATAAAGGTCTATCAACAACTAAAAAAAAATTTTTTTTTAATATATGAAAAAAATCTCCAATGAAAAAACATCAGTTCCACAGAACAGACACAAAGAAAACTCACCCATTACACACAGTTCAATCCTCTTGTTAGAAAGGAAAATGAAGGCTAAGAGTAAAATGGCTTTTCAACTATTCAGAGTCACTAAGAGCCATATATTCTTTGTTAATCTATTAATTAAAAAGCGGAGCACATTAGACTCATGTCTTCTGGATGTTCTGAAGAACCTGTTTCTTGGAAACCCATATGTACCGGGCATCATTTAGGAAAACCAGCTGTTTGCAAGAGACCCATATCATAGGCAAAGACAGCCACAGACTGAAAGTAAAAAGATGGAAAAAGTGTGTGCAAATGGAGTCCAAAAAGAAGCAGGAATAGCTATTCTCATGCCTGACAAAGCAGATTTCAAACAAAAATTAATCATAGGAGACAAGGAAGGTTACCATACACTGGTAAAAGGAATAATTCACAAGAAGATACAGCAACAGAAACTACTTTTCACTAAATGTCAGTGCACCTAATTACATAAAACACATACCTCTGGACATCAGATCTCAGACCTTCATACAATAATACTGAGGGAATTGTCATCCACAAATAAAACCAATAAATACAGTCTGATCTAAATCACACTATAAATCAAATGGATCTAAGAGACATCTATAGAATATTTCATCCTACAATAGACCAAATTGAATTCACTTTTTTCTCAGCAGTTCATGGAAACTTCCCCCAAATACAGACCATACTATAAGTCATTAAGTGAGCTTTAGCAAATGCCAAAATA